GCGCTAAAGTCCCAGCACCGGCTTATAAGGTCGGCCCCTTCGGGAGGCATGTAGAGCGAAGCGAGGGTCGCGGTCCTGTGCTTCCCAATTCTCATGGTTTTAACTCGAGAAAGGGTCGTGGCTATCTCCTTTAGTTTGTCAGTGTGGTCATCACTTGCGAGTATGGGATTTCGAAGAGGCCGGCGATTGCTGAAGTGAGGGGTTAGTGTGGCGGAGAGTTTTGTGACACGGGTTAAGTGGGAGATTAAGACTCTGCTTTACTTTTACTTCTCTTACTGAAGGTGTTCGACTTGCTCCTTCCACGTACATGAAGCCATGATCAACAACACCAACATCCCCAACCTCACACTCAACCTCAACCTCAACCTACCAATCCCATACCACACCACCACCGCAATCATGTCCGAGCAGACAATGCACCTCCTCACCACCGCTCTTACTTTACTCCTCCCACCCCTCCTCGCCCTCTACATCCACAACGACTATAAAGCATTCCTCTCCCTGGGCCCCGGCGGCACACCAGCAACTCCCCTCGGCTATCTCAAAATCAAACTCCTCTCGCTCGTCTGCCTGCGCGACCCGCTCCGCCCCATGCCCATCCCCGCACACTTCCGTCCTCAGACCGGATACTTCACCAGCACTGCTCTTCCAACACGCAAAGGCCCACGCCCGCAGGTCCGCGGCATCGCGCCGCAGCGTCAGAAAACACAGGAAAGTCCTGCGGCAGTGTACACGCAGCTTGTCGAGCGCCTGAGCGCGTTGGCAGCAGACCCACGCAACAAGCTCGTCGAGCGAACATCCTGCTTTGAGAAGAACAGCTCGGGACTGTTTGCTTCGGTGCCGATTACGCGCACGTGCGGCGGCGAGATATGTCACGCACACCCGTCCGACGGATCAATGCACTTGACCCTGCACCCCGCGGATGCCAAACTCGTGCTCGAAAATGGGTGGGGCGAGAGACATCCGTTGGCTAGAGGGGGGTGGTGTAGGCGCTTCGTGCCTAAGGAATTCGTGTTGGTGTATGCCCCGAGGGATGCCGCGGAGGTTGAGGTGGTGATGAATATTGTGGCGGCGAGTGTCTGGTGGGTTAGTGGGATTGATGTCAATGGGGATGAGGCCGGGATGAGGAGGAGGAGTAAGGATGTTGAGGCTGTGGGCAGGGTGGTAGAGGTGCAGAGGGAGTGTTGGTCGTGTGGGGGTGGGAAGGCGGAGAGGATGGTGGGGGATGCGTGAGGAGATTGGAAATTGGGCAGGACTTCTGATGGTGTTTGGGGAGCTGGCTGATTTTTGTTTTGGATTCTTGGGGTTGTTTGGCGCGGTATAGCGAGGCGTTTGGGTTTTGGGCATGGTATGGCATGTACGGTACGGCATGCGAAAAGTGTGCTTTTGTAATAGCCACAATGAAGTTATGGACTCTCGGCTCTTTCTTGAAATATTTTATACATGGCTTGATGCGAGCCTTGAGTGAGTTCGCGTCAATACCTCCCCATGCCCAACTGATGTGTGACTCTTATATCATCTACTGCTTGCTCCCGCTCCTGACCCACTCCTCGTACTCCTTCCTCTTCGACTTGACGTCCCAAAACCCTCTCCTACCCTCTCCCTTCCCGCTCGTCTTGCCTTCTCCAAACCCTCCATCAAGTCCCAAAAACGCATATGGGTCTCCCTCACTCAGTATTGCCTCGCCTTCCCGCGTGTACTGGCCCTCGGGACGCTGGCCTTCTCGTGATATCTGGCCGGCCCATTTCGCATTTTGGATGGGCCGAAGCGGTTGTGCGGATATTACAATGCCGGTGGAGAGGAGAAAGATGGACAGAAGGAGCTCGAGGGTGATGTCGGTGGGGAGTGGGGTCGCGGAGAAGGCGGATGTGTGTTCGTGGGCGGAGTAGACGCTACAAAAATGTAAGCAGGTTTTCATACCGGCGCAATCTCTGGATCATGAGAGTCAGGACGTACGCATGTGTCAGGAACAACGCGCCGACTGTGTTCAGAACTGTGCCTAGTATGGCCATTTTGCGACAAGTTGAGCTGGGTACGGGATTTGAGATTTCAGATCTGAATTCCTAGGCCAGTGCGGCAATTGGGGTGGACAGTTGTGCGGGGTAAGGCGATGTCTGATGCTGTGCGCGAGAGATGGCCGGTGGTGAGGTTGGTGATGCTGCGAGCCTGGGAAGCGATGGAGCTCTGAGATGCTTGGCGTACTCCGGCCCACTCCACCAACATCCCGATGGCGTCTTGTCACCAGCACTGTTCAATTTCACAGCTTGTCAGACCACCCAGGTGCCCATTCTTACTCACAATCACATGAAAGATTCTTTGAACCAATATTGCAGCCATACAGACGATGATCGTATGTGGACATATCACGCTCTGTTCTGGACAGGCGTTATCCTTCTGCCAGGCAGCAGTATAACTGGCAATACCAGTGGATGCTGTGTTCGCTAAAACCGGGCTGGCTGTGCTTCTTGTAGAACGCTACGTGAGATCTGGTGCGGACATGTCGGTCGAGCAGCACTATCCCCGACTTCACAGTCGGACTTATACATGCAAGACGTTTTCTATACCCACGACATATAAGGTAGGAGTTTTGCACAGTCGTGAACATGCTCATATATTCAATCCATCAATTCTTTCAGTAATTACGTCTCTTAACAAGACATCTGCGTTACTGGCATCGAACGACAAAAACCTCAACACGACCATGTCCCTCAACATTCTTATCATAGGAGCAGGCTGTGCGGGTCCAGCCCTTGCTCATCTTCTTGAAAAGACCAACCCAAACCACAAGATCACTGTCATCGAACGCTTCCCTCAGCTGCGTACTGGTGGCCAGCAGCTTGATCTCAAGGCTGAAGGAATTCGTGTCGCTAGAAGTATGGGTATACTGGGTGCCCTCAAAGAAAGCTGCGTTCACGAGACCGGTATGAGACTTGTCGATAAGAACGGCAAGTCGCTGGTACAATTCGGCGTCAATGACTCTTCAAAACAGGGTATGAACTTGACAAACGAATATGAGATTATGCGTGGAGACATGGTCAAGGTCTTCTACGATGCAAGTGTTGCGGAGCGAAGGTCCATCGAGGACAAGGTTGGGAATGCGGGCGGCTTGACATACACATTCGACACGACCATCACCCACCTTGAGCAGTCCAGCAACGGCGCTACCGTGACATTCTCGGACGGACAAAGAGCAACTTACGATCTCGTTGTTGCAGCAGACGGTCAAAATTCGCGGACCAGACGCATGGCTTTCGGTAATGATGCCAGTACAGCAGGCTTCAGGAGCATTGGAACCCACGCGGCATACTTCGAGATTCCGCGCATGCAATTTGGCGATAATGACGCCCGCATCTTCTTCGCATCGGGGAGTCGAATGATCATGACACGGAACGGAGACCGATCGAAGACCCAAGTCTACTTCTTCATCATGAAGGACAAGGAACGTCACGAGCGGATGAAGACGGTGCACAAGCTGTCGCTGGACCAGCAGAAAGAGGCCTGGGCCGAGATCTTCCATGATGTAGGCTGGGAATGCAAACAGTTTGTAGAGGGCATGAAGACAACCGATGACTTCTACGCGCACGAACTTGCCCAGATCCACATGCCCCAGCTACACGCCGGCCGTGTCGTGCTCCTTGGCGACGCAGGGTATTGCCCAACTGCCTTTACGGGAATGGGCACAACACTTTCGCTCATCGGGTCGTACATCCTGGCGGGAGAATTAGCAAAACATGGAGAAGACGTCGAAGCTGCACTGCAAGCATACAGCGAGTTGATACAGCCATTTCTGAAGCTGTATCGAAAAATGCCTGAGGAAGTGACGACAAATTTCTATCCAAGTTCTGAACTGGGAATCAAGATTACGAACAACGTCTTGTGGTTCTTGTCGAGTCTTAAGATCGACAAGGTGGTGCAGTGGGTAGGCGGAATGATGCCTGAGAGCAAGAGCAAGTTGGAACTGCCAGTATATACAGGGCTGGATTGAAGTCACGAAGAGAAGATAGAGGTATATGTGGGTTGTGGTGGACTTTGTATATCAGTTTGCTTTCTTGATGCACCCGTTCCTTTGAGTGTTTGCTCCACTCCACATGTAACAACAATCAATCAACTCGCCACCACTCGTCCATCTTCGCAGCTCAAGCAGCCAACCTAATCATGCCCGCCGGGACCTCAAACATCAGGGTCCACGACCCAACCCCACACTCACCCCACCTTCCCAAACGGCTACAAGCGGTTGACGTCACACCTCCCACCGCGTCAGTAACGTAGCAGCCTTTACAGCCCAGCGACATTCAAGGAACCCACTAGCCCCGGCGCATAAGTACTGCACGCATCTCCCTCAACCCAGACTACTCTCTCAGCCCACAGAACCACAATCTCCACAATTCTTCGACTTGCACGACTCTTCACAACAACCTCACACGCACTTAACATGCCCCTCGTAGTCCCCGGCCTCATGTCCAACGAAGGCAGCTCCGCAGGCGGCGACTGGCTGAGCAAGCTCGCGGGCAAGAAGATTGGCGAGCAGCACAACGAGACCGTACGTTTTCGCATACTCTTCCAAGCACTCCAGGAGATTGGTGGCTAACAGATATGGGCAGACTTTCGCAAAGACCGATCTCCCCAAGGAGCACCGCATTCTGAAGCCGGACAGCATGAAGACGATGGACTTTAAGCCGGATAGGGTCAATATTCATGTCGATGATGATGGCACGGTTAAGAGCATCAGCCAGGGATAGGTGATTGGCATGCGAGGTGCTTCATGCACTCGTGTGTCACGGGCCATGATGGCATGATGGAGAGGACATATACCTTGTAATGAATGAAGTCACGACAGCTTTGATTCCTTGTCTTGAGTGCTTGCTTGATCGCCCTTCACCATCCTTTACTTGCGGTGGAGTGTGCTGATATAACACAGCTCGTTGGAGACTGTGCGTAGAGAGAAGAATGTAGATTCGACTGTCGTATACTAGAGGAGCCACTGACACGCGGGAACGAGGGGTATCAGCGAACACAACGCAAGATCAACATCGCCAAAGCAAAGCCCATGCAGTGAGAGTACGAGTAGCCACCAAACCATGCAGAGTGTATATCAACCAAGCTGCACATGGAAACCCCCAGTATCAAAAACCGACCTTCAGATGTTTCTGAAAAATCGCCACTCCAGCACAGCTTTTACAAGTCTACACCGGAGCGCCCCACGAAGCGGGTAACAAACACGATCCAAAACTTTCCTCATACCCTCCTCCTCTTCCCCGCGCCTTCGTCCTTTCTCTGCTTGCCTGCACCAAGTGCCTCGACGACCTCGCACATTTTCACCATGGTGCTGTGGATCGACTCCGGGTGCTCAAAGCATAGCATAACGCCAGCACGCATCGTCAGGGCAGAGAAGTACTTCCTGTGTATCTTGCTTTCGCTCTTCTTGCTGGCGGCGCCGACGACGAGTCCGATCCAGAGCAGGACGCCGGCCATGTCGCCCCAGCATGCGGATATGTTTGAATTTTCGATTGTAGCGCGGAGGTCTTTCAGAAGGGTTGTGGTGTTACTTGGCGCTGGTGCTGGGGGCGCCGGGAAGTAGATATGATCCGAAGATGTAGAGTGCGTTGAGGATACGGAGGGTCGCGGTGCGCTGGTTGCTGAGGAGACCGATGGACGCGATGGGTTGATAGAGGACATTGACGAGCGAGGATCGGTGGGTGAAAAGTATGACTGCGGCATTGTAGGATTAGTGTCGTAGGATAATATTGTTGGCGACGTCGAGTGCCTTGCCCCTGTATCGTGTGGCGAGACGAGAGGTTCATTCAATGGAGCTGTGCCGGAGGTGTTATAGAATACTGCTGGCGTTGGCAGATCTGCGGCTTCTGAGAGGACTTCAGAGAGTGGTTTCCTGCGCATGATGGCTGTAGCTTGGATGATGGAGGTTATGCGGATTGCCTCGTACTTGTAGTCGTGGCAAGTCAGGAGCCTTGATTTGCGGATCTCAGAGACTGGAGGGTATTCGCTCGGACTTGTGATCTTCTTGTACAAGTCCATCAAAGTTTGTGAATTGCGACGAGTTGACCTCCTTTCATTGAGCATGGAATCGATCATCGTTCGAATATCTCCCAGAAGCTCTTGTGCTTTCGGCGTACACTTCGTTGATTTGGGAATAGTTTTCCACACAGCTCGTGGGCAGTAAATTGGAGATTCCGGCAAGGTAGCCGTAGGTCGGTATTGTCTTGTCGAGTTGGCAGCGCAATAGTCGGCATACATAGCTCTTGGTCGTTCTTCTCGTAGGACAGAGGCTGCTAGAGACACCCACGATATTGCTGATGCGAGACGTCCGTTCACACCAAGCTTTTCAAGCCCACCACGCTGACAGATCATACCCTCGATACCGTTCTCATGCCAAGTCAATCCTGACTCTTCTCTTCCGATCACTTCGCTGATGATGAGCTGAATGATTGCCATGATGTTGTGATCAGACACCCTGGTCTCAGGATCTAGCATATTCCGGCCGACTAGATGTATGACTTCTTGGCGTAGTGCAATTGTCTGCACGCTCTCGAGTTCTAGTTCATGTATGACGTCGTGGTAAGCTGTCGCCAGACACAGAGTGCCCAGGAATGTATGAGGGTAGCTGAGTGCGGTGGGAATCCAGTACTTTCCAAGCGCTCTTGTTCCAAAGTACCTGCTGCAATGGAACTTCAACTCCTCGACAGAAACACCCGGGTGACTGGCCTGAAACATCGTGCGGAAAGGATCCAGAGACTTGCCGATCGACTGGAATGGTTGGGGCATGTAAGCATCGTATGGAATCGGGACTCCTTTCTCACAACGAAGGAAGATAGGAACGGCAGGAAGAACAAAGCTACCGGACTGCTGTTTCCTTACTACCGCACCCTCTGGACCGGAAGTGTCTTGGTCGTGACTACTAGGTGTAACAGATGATCTGCTTGGAGAGCTCGCCCTCGTGTGCACAACGCTCTCGGCACCGTGGGATATGGTCGTAGGGATAGCCGAGGATTCGGTGACAGGTTCCAGACTCACAACACTCAACTTGGACTTATTTGAGCCTCTGGATTCGGAGTCCACGCTGCTGAATCTCGATCTACCTGCCGAGCTCTTTGACTTGCTGCTCGACTTTCCGTCACCTTTCAAGAATGAGTCCATGGCTTTCTTGCGTACGATGTTCATGTTCGTCTTCGTCTTGAAATCTGCGGGTGACGCGCCTGTGATGAAGATGAGGCCTCCATCGTCTTGGGGCTCTTCACTGGCAGTTACTGATGGGAGTTTCGACGACCTCCGCTGAGTTTGCGCTACTAGGGGCCAATTAGCCTCTGCATGCACTTTGATCATGATAAAATTCCTTGAGAACAGCAGAAGTGGGAAACAGGGCGTAAAATGCGAGGGTACGAGAATCCTTCGCAAGCATTCAGCCGCATCACAAGATGCGCCCGTGTTCCAATGAGGGATTGCGCATGCCGCGCAAAACTCCCAATCGTACTTCAACATGAAAGGACCTTATCTTACCATCGCTTTCCTGGTGTGGCGGCATTGGGTCCCAAGAGAAATCCGGATCAAATGCAGCGGTTGACGCGGGTGAATTGTAGGAGGAACCGAGGCCCAAGTACGAGTCGAAAGCGAGGGGCATGCGCGATTCGGCAGGGGCAGTCATAATTGAAATTGAACTCCAACACAGTGCTAAGTCGATAGCAACGCAGTATACGAGGCTGTCAAGGTGTGTTGATCATTCCTCGATTGAGTTAAGGACTTGGGTCAGTAAGCTGAGGATCGATCGATAGTCATAGGGCTGAGGTGGGCCGCCAGGTATTATATGTATTCACTCCATGTACTGCGCAAGATAGCGATGTTGCGCTCATGCGGCTAAACCACAAACATCAAGGGTTGACCGCACACTAGACATTCGGTGATGGAAACTTGTGCGTCATGCAGCACCAGTTGATGGCTGCGCATCTGTTACGGAATGCAAGACGGTGAAGTTGATGTGTGGCAGTGTTGCGATAGCTGCCGAACCACATGCGGGCCGGGGAGGCATTGCTGAGCTAACGAATCGGCTGTGATTCCCGCGCTTTGAGCGTCAAGTACGTAGCGACACCACGGGGTAATGTGCACTGGAAACTCTGTGGAACTTTGTGCTGACAGGTGCAGGAAAATTGCTAGGGACAGATGCTGATCGCGATGCTGGGTCAACTACAAATTGTAACGACGCCGGTTCAACTGCAACCAAGGCAGACAAGAAAGCCCTTTGCCATTCTCCGCAACGTCATATCTCGAAACTGTTGCCCGTCGCAGACTTCGTCACACGAGTGCAATGCTGACCACGGCGGACAAGGCCTGGAGAAAGTTCAAGCGAAGCTCACCGCCACGCAAGGTCCCACGACATTCGATCCATCACTTCCAATGTGTGCTTGAGCCAATTAGCCGTGCTTATTATGGTCTGTGCGCCCTGAAAAAGCGGTGCATGTCAGCTCTTGTATGGTTCCGTTCGCTGCACGAATGGCACGCCCAACTTGCCGGGCCCTTGCATTACTGCACTAGATTGATCGCTAGCTGTGTGTGTACACACCAGTAATGCGGTTGCGGGCCTGCCACTTCACCCCAACACTACGAGATTGTGGCTGTGAAATCCCCCAATCATCGATCTACCATAGTCGAGACGGCTTCGTGTCAGCAGCCTTGTGGGTCCTCGTAGGCTACTACACCCAGGCAGGAAGTCTTCGAGAACGTCGCCTTACCGTATTTTCGGGCGGGTAAACGAAGTGATAATCCCCAAGCGATGATCTCCAGGCTTGTGTGCAGCGGTCTGTGTTACTCGAACGGCTTCACCGCACTAAGCACGGTAGCAATGAACCACTATCGCACCCCATTTGATGCCGTACCAAAGTAGTCGTTCACTCCTTGCTGGTTAGCAGCGACAGGACTCGCGGCGCTCCCTCCGGGGCTTACGCTTCCACTGTCCCTAGACGTTCGCTCGGGAGACATGACCGCATTGCCCAAACCAGGGCTTACGTCTACCCGATGTCCGTTACTGCGACCCCTTGTGGGAATATTGAGCCGCGTGGTATCGAAAGAAAAATGCGTCTGTTCCTGTGTTTGGTCCATTGAAGGGCTCCTGAGCTCGACCAATTCAAGTGTGCTCTTTAGCGTCACACCTGTCTCATCGAGTGCCATGAGGAATCGTGCAAGTTCTTTGCACAATTCCCAGTCTTGCTCGTCCTTGGCTCGTTGGAGTAGACGTACCACTTGGTCTCCTGTTGGTCTTAACTCCTCAAAGGTATGGAGAACGAGCAGATATCCACCCGCTGTCTTCAAATTACCCTTTTGTAGTGACTCTTCGAAAAGCTCCTCTGGTGGAGGCAAATTCGAGAACAGCGTCCGCCAAGACCGAACCTCGGTCTTTCGCGTGCATTGTACGACGATGTCAAGGTATTGTGGAAACGAGCTCAGGAAAGATAACACGCTTGGTAGTAATGCTTGCTCGGGTGGTGGCTGTGTGTCAACTTCATCGTCAAGTATCTCGTGTAACAAGATCTCCAAAGCGTGCGGGAAGTACTGCAGTTGCTGGTAATGGTGGCTAAGGTGCAAAGCTGCAGGATGATTATACTGCGCCAAGTGGTGGCGTAGCAGTGCGGGGAGGAATAGGTGTGTCTACGTGCATGTCAGCGACCATTCACGTTCGTTTGGATTGCGCTACATACCCTGGTGCCAAAGCGCAAGAACGCGAAGCTTGTATCGCGCCGTTGTACGAGCTCGGATTCGACGCCAAACACAATGGCTTTGTTGATCAGAGCAGACAGAGGGTAGAAGTCGACTGGGATCTTGACTGGAGTGGGCAATTCTCTCCCCAACTCGGCGGACGCCGATGCTAGAACATCTTGCATGTCGATCCATACTCGCATGTCGATTCCATCAAAGTACCACAGCGAATCTCGTAGATCGTGGCCATGCACACCATTCATCGTCAGCCCTGCCGAGGGGCTAGCGGGCAACGCTTCCGTGCTCATGTCCAAGGCGAATGCGGGGTGGTCGCGCATGAGCGCATAAGTCTCCACGTTCTGGGCAATGATCCGCATCTCATACTTGAGTTCACCGCCCTCCGTTGTTGTTGGCTGCAGTAATACAAGTTTGCCATCCACGAGGAATAAGACGGTGGCAACAGCCACGTCCTGAGATGGATCTCCTTGGTCTAGAGATTGTCAGTCTGATAATGTAGTCAATTTGTGGGCCAACTTACAAATCTGATCCTCGGGCAATATCCAGCTGAGCGCTCGCACCCGGGGAGGCGCGCGAATAATACCATGCAATGCGATCTGGCCCACTTGTAGCAACTTGACCGAAGAGTCTGCAACGTTGATGATGTAATGATACAGGATATTTTCATAGGTGTAGACAAGGAGCGAGTCCTCTCCAGAGGGTGCAATCAAGACAATAGGGGTGGGTAGTTTCTGGACATGCATAACATGACTGTTATCGAGCGCCGCTTCACGCGAGTATATTCGAATCTAGAAGAGATCGCGGGTCAGCTTGTGTTAGATGACATGTGCAGAATGCCATACCTCGTGGGACTCGTGAGACTCAACCGCTGCGAGGAGGACGTGCTGGAACCAGCACATGCCGCCTCGGACAGTAAATTCGTTCTCGATGAATGGATCGTCAAATGTTTTCCAGCGCCCACTAGTGACGCTGTAGTGCGCGAGACCTCTCTTTCCAGCGACAGCAACATAACGACCATCGTTGGAAATGACCGCACACCGAATGGGCCATTGATCCACCAGGTAATGAGGTGGAACCTGCACATGATGCCATAGTGACACGTCTGCGGATATGGTGGTGAGATCTGGCAAGTCGTAACCACGATATATCATGAAGCCGGTACTTGTCTGCATGAGCGATCTTGAGATGTTGGCAGATGAGAAACAGCCAGTAACGGCACTGCGGGCCATCTCCAGGATGAAGAGACGGTTGGAATGCTTGCCCAAGATGACCAATTCTGCACCGGATCCTATCCAGAATGCATCATGAACACCCAGCAACCATGCCTCGCCATTAGTCTCCGAAAGTGTGCGGTCCGCAGAAAAGCTAGTCGCCCCAGGCTTGCCATAGACGCTCCACATCGCCCAGCCATTTTCGTAGCCGGCGAACAAGGAATACCCATCTGGTGAGTAGACCAGGGTGGTCACTTTGCCAGGAGATGTGACGCTAGGCTTTAGTCTGTGTGACAGTGGTATGTTGCCGGTGTAGTCTCGAGCAGTATACACACATATATCGCCATTGGAGCACCCCACAGCCAGCAACGAGAACCTGGCATTGATTGCAGCCTTGACACCGTGCTCGGCATCAGATTCTGGGGTGTGAAAGCCGTAGCCACGGAACAAAGTAGTGCCTTCCTGGGTAGCGCTTGGACGCACGCGTTGAACCGCAAACGCTTGCCCTTCCCCTGTTATCCAGCACATCAAGTTCATAGGCCTATCGTGAACGATATCGGCGAGGGTAGTTTTCTTGCCCAACCATGTCATCTTGTTCAGGAGCTCGGTACTCGTCTGAGGTCCGCTAGAATCCGGCACCCATCGAATGCACTGCACTGCGGCGGGTTTCTCGGTTGCTACTACAAGCTCATCGTCCAGTGCCAGAGCTCTCACAATGCCGGCATCGACACGTATGACCATGCGGAAGCCAAGACTGAGTTCTCTCAAGCCACTGCCCTCTCCTGGTCCCGCATTGGTGTCGTGCTGGCGCTGCTGCTTGAAGCCTGATATTGTACTGCTCTTCCTCGAGTGCCCTCCGTGTGTGTCGGTGAATTGGGTCCGATATACGCGTGAGGAGTGGTCAGTCGCGAGGCCATACGTAATCAAGAAACCGAGAGTAGTCTGCACTACGAATATCTGGGAGTCGGGGCGGAGGAGAACGTCTGTATTGGGTCCGTATTTTTTCAATGACTGCGCAGACCGCAGGACCGAAGCTAGAACAACGGTAGGCTACATAACGCATCAGCAACGGCCCATTGCGCAGGACTATAGACGTGCCTTTGTCTGCCATATCGTCAGGGTGGATCGGGTCAGGGTTGCGAACAAGTGTCCGCTCCTCGTGACCCTGATAGCAATGATCTCGCCATGTATGTCATCTTCTGTCAATGCATCCGAGGCACGTGGCTGCTGTGACAGAGTGTCGTCCCCCTCCTTCACAGCAGCCTCGCCCTGGGTGCGCGTCTGATCTTCAATCTGCGCATTCGGCCCGCCATCCTCGAGTCCATCATGAGAAACCCGCGTCTGCTCGGGTCTGGTGTGCTTGGTGGCCGCAAAGATGGAGGGCGAGGAAATTGGCCAATACGTCATGGCGCTCTATCGGCATTCGATACTGCTTCCGCGCAGGCCATCTCACTGTGGGCTGGTGTGGTTCGCGGGAGTCATGCTAGCTGTCGCGCTGCGAGATACTGCAGGGTCTCGTGGCTGTGTCGTGCCCAGCGGTGAAGGAGCTCGGGAGCTTGGAGCTTCAGAGCCGAGGCGCAGCATTTGTGGCGTCGAGGTCCGAGCGCCGAGGTCCGAGCGCCCATTCACTCAATGACTGCGATTACGGCGGCTTCATCATGTCATCAAGCTACCCACGATCTAGCTGTCAACGCGCCAAACTCCGCGCTATGCACGAGTGTGAGGATTGAATATCCCAATATGCTCTCTAGATAAAATCTAGCACCATACCGCCGTCGACTGCCTCCCCTCTCGCACAGTCTTGCGCGACATTGTGCTATTCAGATACTCGAGTCCCGCTAGTCTCGCTCAACGTCTCTTTGTTCACCTCCTGGGACCTTGTGAACTCGCAGCTCTTCTTAAAACAGCTGGTTCGACCTTATTTCATTCACGGCATCTGCAGGGCAGCATCACACTCGATATTAACACTACATGGTTTGTCACGCACTCTCTTCGCATCGTCACATAACATCGTTGATCACGGTGTGGATCATGTCATGCAATCTGGTATTCATCAGCGTCACCTGGATGTGCCCTCGAGGACGCGAGCGGAGCCAAACGAACCTAGTTAAGTTGAATGAAAGCATACAGAAGACCATAAATGAAAAATTGAACCATCGCTGAGTGCTGATTTATTACAGCGCGCGTACTGAATTTGCGCTGTACTCACCTCATGTACTGTAAAATCCCGGCTAAGGAAACATAATTAAGATCTTGCCGGGGCTTCCAACGTCAAACAATACTGTGGATAGCTTCAGAGGGGCTACCTGCTGTTCCAACTTGGCACTTTGCGTCGCGACTCACAATATGCAGTACGCCATGCGCTCACTGAACATCTCTGCCATGTCATGCCCCGCAGAAAGCTGGCCTCCTCGTACTGCTTTTGTGAGGTCCTGCGACGGTCCAGATACCGCGTCATAGGCCCTCCTCCAGTCGCAATATCACCAGTTTCGCCGTGTCACAACTTTGAAAAGGCCATTGCCCACACAGCCGCACAATTATTGTCACGGCAATAGTATTCGCCATTCATGACTCCTGCTTGCGCTCTTGATTCGACTCACGCTCATTCGCCGCTATTCTACACTGCCATTGTTGACAGACACTCATTCACCTTCACTTCACTGTTCCTCTTGCACATAGTCATTGTGGACTTTTGCGACAACACTATTGAGCTCTATCTCCACAACGTTCGCGACCTGCGGCTATAAGAAATCTCGGCCAGTTCTTCTCACCAAACTCATCGACAGCACTTTGCAACACAAACAAGCTACTACCCACTTTACAGGTTTACTATAGCTTACACTTGCTACAAATCAACTTCTACCTTACTATCGATCGCACACACACACACACACACACACAACACATACTTTCGACCTCATCGATCATTTCCGCAGCTGGTCTACGCAATATGGTCTTCTCTACAACCACCATTCTCGGTGCGATGCTGGCCATTGCACCCCTCGCCGCTCATGCCCACATTATCATGGCAAGCCCGGTTCCATTCGGCCCCACGGGCTCATTCCCTAAGCAGGATCCCCTCAAGGCCGCAGACTTTCCATGCCAGAACGCACCCTCCACTGGTGCTACGGTTAATAATGTGGGTTGCCGGTACTGATACGAGCATCAACCTACTCGGTTCAGCCGTTCACAGTGGCGGATCTTGTCAGGTCTCTGTGACCAAGGACAAGTCGCCTACCAAGGACAGCGTATGGAAAGTCATCCACTCATGGGAGGGTGGCTGCCCAGACGTGCCTCCCGGTGGTGGCAACTGGTCGCCCGCCGACGCGAAGGCGGTTCGTCCTCCCCTGCCTTTCACCATCCCTACAGAGCTTCCCAACGGCGAGATGTCCATGGCCTGGACCTGGTCCAATAAGGTCGGCAACCGCGAGTTCTACATGAACTGTGCTGCTGTCGAGATCTCTGGCGGAGCCAAGGATGACACTGCATTTGACGCACTCCCAGATATGGCCGTCAACATCGAGTGGTGTTGGCAAGACCCCTTGTACGACCAAGGAGGACTACGACTATCTGTACGAGAACCCTGGCAAGTACGTTACCAAGAACGGCACGGGACCTTACATGCCTCTTTGCGGCGGAACCAGTCACTCCTGGTGGTGCTCCCGTCGCTTGGTGGCAGCGCTCCCGCAGCGCCCGCCAACCCAGGCATTCCTTCTCCCGCCCGTCCCCGCCCAACCCAGTCTTCCCGTCGCCTGTCGCCCCGATCAACTCAATGGCTTCAGGCAGCATGGGCGCCCCGGCCGCTTCAGTCTCCCCCGCCCCCTCGGCAGCCAGCGGCGCGCAGACGTCTACTCTCCGCACCATTATCACGGTGACTGCACCCCAGGGCGCGTCTCCCACTGGCATGGCTCCAGTCTCACCTCCAGCATCTGGAGCCGCTCCTCCTTCGGCCCCAGCATCCCCATCCCAGGCCCCCGGTGCGCCTGCCTCCGCGTGCTCGCCCGACGGCGCAGTCATCTGCAGCCCCGACGGCAAGCAGTTCGCGCTATGCAACCACGGCAAGGCGATTTTCCAGGCCGTCGCTGGCGGCGACTACTTGCTCAGATGGCAAGATTGCTCGGCGCCAGGACCCTTCTACCATGCGGACTGTGTACGCTTAGATGGATGTGTTGGTGAGATTAGCTTGATTTGATCTCCGTTTTTTCTCTCGCATTGTTAGCTTGACTCGTGTTAGCGATTGGGTTTTACGATGGTAGGATTTAGATACATGGTGGGATAATACAAATGGATTTTTAAAAAGCATGGAACTTTTGTTGCTTTGAAATTTGTGAGTGATGTTATATGCAATGTCCTGAGATCAAGATCGTGACATGAAACCGATGTCCAGTGCCGTCATGTGTACAATATAAAGAGCCAATGTGGCCTGTAATCAGCGAAAATTATCAAGGTCTTCCATCAATACTTATATTTACTCCAAATCATCATGTTTTGAGCTACCGAATACTGAGCATAAAGCAATTACCGTATATTGTAGCATAGCAGTCATCCCTCAATCAAGCCACATTCATGTCGTGACTGATTAATCGATGAATATGACTCTTTCCAATATTACGCAGCATGTCACCCATCCCTCCCTTGAGCCAATACTTATCTCCGGACATTCCTTGAGCCACATAGCACTACGAGCCAAGTGTGCACTGAAGTTAGTTGCACATCGAACGCAGTGATGAAAAATACAAATGTCTAAACGAGAATATTGTGACAACGACACGCGCATAAAAGCCGCCTTTTGCGACGCGACTTGCCCATTGCCCAATTTAGTGGATTCTAGTCGAGCTGCCGTGCTGTATCACCGAGTCTATCCATTGTGTTGCATCTTCCTCGTTCCGACCATTCTTTGTTCTATTGTACTCCACCTCCTTTCAACTAATTTGAATAGCCAAATACACAACACAGAACACTGTAAGTACTTCCCAAAGGTCCCTGCACCCGCGAGTAGCATCAGGAACATACTGTTGGCACTGGACAAGGCAGAGACTCCACAAACCATCTCGACAAGCAAATAATCTTGTGAAAAAAAAAAAGAAAAGATGACATGGTACCCTTCAGTGACACACGTAGCGCTATGATGAACGAGTGAGTTCTAGATCACTATACCAATATCGTTTCCACCAGAACCTACGTGTTTGGATACGCCCCGCACATACATCCAGATCTGATCGCGAGCAAACACGGCTCTTCGATACTCCAAGGTACCATGAGCTTTCCATCCCACCATCGCCCCAGTCCATGCTACCTGGTACGTGGTACAAGGCGTCTTTGAGCTTTGTCCCATTACTCCTAGGGTTGCAGTGCAGGCGAAAGGTGTGGGCGTACAGAAGGCTGCACGGGTTGTGTTTGGTTTGGAAACCGACTGCCCTCGCCACGTTCCAGGACGTGTTTCTTCTCTCGTGCACGACATGAATTTTGCGGCTGACGGTCGATAGAAGTCAAGCCGCGATTGAGGAGCAAAGAGCTGAGTGTAGTTGTCCTGGAGATGCATGCATTGCTAGATGCTGTGTTGGAAAAACCCCACATCTAGAGCGTATTCTGAGTGTATGAGCAACCTGTTTGAAGTACTGAGCATAGTCAGCAGCCTTTAGAGAATGCTTTGATGCGTCAAAAACTGTTTCATGTCCGGACCCGTCAGTTCGTGTGTTGTACTACAAGCGGATGCTCTGAGAGGCGGAACCATTGCGATGCGGATGGCAATTATGTACCCCTTTCATGTGCATGTACATGTGCTTCACCAGTGAAGTGACCGTAGTACAGCATAATTCGATCTTATGCTAGACGCTTGCTCGATCCTCTGTTCCAATGGCTGTCCAGCCTAGGAAAGGTACATAGGAATACTGATCATTATTGGTGGCTCTCTTCCTTCCAGGAGGATGCGCTTTGGTGAGCGTAAATTTCCCAAGACGCTATTCATGCCAACATGGTAGAGTCTTTTTCACAATCCCGAACACTCAGCCAAGGCCAGTAAAGTGCGATTGGTTTTCGGGAGGATAAAGAGCGACGACCGAAAAGTGGACCCCGGCGCCTAGCGTTCGGTAATCTTGCCCTAAGCGTGAGGCACCATCCGCGAAGAAGCTCGCGACACCGATGTGCCAATAAGAGGTGCTGTGTATGATGTCGAGCTGCGAGGTTGTTCCTTGCGCACGTTCCGGATTGTGTTACAATTGCCGTAGGGCAGCGCGAGAAATATGTCTGGGAAAAAGAAATTACGTGCTCCAGTTTCAAAGCCGCAAAGGGCACGGCTGAAATGGATGCGAATATGCATGCGAGACGAGTATTTCCCGTAGAGCCGAACACAACCAACCCGACTCATGCGTCGCTCAGCGGGGGGCGGCAGGATGCGCGGTGTCTCGGTTGGCGCTTCTAACATTGTTCGACGAGCTTCCATACGGTTTGTTTGCTGGGGCATCCTTGGTCTTCGCTTTGTGCTGTACAATAAGCGAGAACTATGATCCGAACCTCACATCGATGGTCGCCAGGCGAGAAACAGGCGAGCAACAGGCCCGAAAACAGCCCATACCAATTTGGTTATGTTCACTGTAGTACGAACTGGATCGACGTGCGCCGGTAACTCAGCCCTGATTTCAGGGTCTCCGCTCGTGCTGCCATACCCTAACAGCTGTGGTGGGACGTTCACCTGGACGTGTAATTCCGCCAAACACGTCAGACCACGCATTTTGCGTGTAAAGATAGTATAGTATTTCATGTTCCGATCTCGTCGTAATGCAAGGAAGCCTGAAGACGTGAGCATCTCCAATTATTAATATTTGTTGGGGCTTATCGAAGCTAGGCGGCAGAGATGAGGAATGTCGTCTGCAGCAGCATTACGCCATCCAGACTTGAATCTGCCAGCACCACTTGTTTAGACCATAGATGTGCTACGAGTGTCGCGGCACCGCTCTTCCGTGGACACGGGCTTCTGCCTAATGGTGCTCCTACAAAAGGTGGTCGCACTCGACACACGTCCGGCAACGGCTCATGAGGCCGGGCGCGTTGATTTATCCGTTGATAGCCCTGTGTGATACAGGGTGGTGGGCGGCGCTCAGGCTGAGTCTAGGACCAACAAATGCAACGCCGTTGTTGGGACTGAGCGGCTCTTGCACCCATGCACCGCTGTTGCGGTGGCTGGGATTTGAGGCTGCTATTGATTTCTCGTTGCTGGCGGTTAAATGGGATGTTGAAATGACATTGCACAAGCGAACATTTACCTCGCCTTGTCAGCAGCCTCCTGATATGGCGATGCGCATCGATGGCGAGGGCAAGGGATAAGCGGCCCGGATTATGCTGATGAGGTACAGGACGTTCCATGATGCCCTTGTGCCCAATGGTGCCGAGCAGCGATGAAGTCATAAGCCGGGCCGCTGGGGTGCACATGCCTTCAGGCCCCAGGGTTGCCGGCGCACACGGGCTGTCAAGTCGCCCTTCTGGAGCCGACGTGGATCACAACAGGGCATGTCACGCTCGATCTAGGACCAAAGGAACAATCGCAGAGGCGGCGAGAAATCAGGCTGAGGGCATTGCCGTCCGCTCGGTGATGCAGGCAACTGCGGTAATCAGCCTTAATCAAAGCTGCCAGGCCGCGACGGAAAGGGATTGGGGAACGCAAGCTGGTGCACCCACGCCTAGCAGAACGCGTCGAGAGCCGACGCGCCTTGCTGCATGTACTGTATCCAGAGCGTCCCAATGGGTGCAAGACCAACACTGGGCCGCGGGAGCGTGAAGGGCAAAAGCTCCACGGCGGACGGCAGTGCATAACAGCTGGGCCCGCAAAGGGACTTGCCCAGCGGCGGGTGCCAATGGCAGGTCGAGGGGTGTGGAGAGGCACGCTGCTTTGGAAGCTGATTGCAGGAAGAACAGACGACGGGTGCGCAGGCTGGATAATAGATGTGCAAGCAGCGAGGTGCTGGAACGGCGAACTCACGTGACGTGACGGAGGAATAAGCCAGGCTGTGGTCCACGGGTGCGCTAATTTTCCTTCCATCCACAGACCTATCGTTCTTCCTGGACGGGCTGCGTCTTCTGCGAATATCGTTGTTTGCCGACGCTGCACTGATCAAGCGACACCCAGAGCATTCCCGCAACCTTGCAGGATACATTAGTGACGCTCGCGAAGCGAAAACGGGACGAGCACCGGGGCCTACCCAAGCGAAGCACGCCAAAAGTTAGTGATTGATCACAATGTGAGTAGGCGGCATCTCCCAGCACCAAGCACCCTTTCCTGTTACTGTTGTCGCGCGCACTGCCACGTTCATGACCTGCTCAACGCGGCTAGGAGAGGCAGCGCAGACTCGCACTCCCTGCCGTCCAGCGCGGCCGTGGGTGGGTGGATGGGCGCATGGCCCGCATTCTTGACGGGGGTGCTCTGGCCTGGTACTCTTCAGTCTTCTCTCTGCTGAAGCGTCGCGCTCCCACGCCTCTCGCCTCTCGCCTCTCGCCGCTCGCTCGCTTCCATGGCCCGCCCGCGTGTAGCGACGACGTGCACCGCTGCGCCGTTCCAAGGTTGCTAACTCATCCCACGCAGTGCTCCTCTGCAGTGTCTTGCAGGTCTTGCAGCCCCGAGGCACCCCCCTGGCCATACTAGCTTCCCGATTTGGCCGCCAACACACGCCTCGGCCGCTCGCCAACATCCCTACCTCAGACCTGGCGCCCGTCCCTCCAGCTCGTGTCCCATACCTCAAGCTTCTTCTAGCGAGCGACGGCTGCGTGCACCTACAGTACCTCCAGCTCGACTGCCAGCCAGCGCTGCGCTTGGGCGGCTTCATATTGCTAGCCCATGTCACACGATTTTACCACCCAGATCAGTCCTGCGCCATATTCGCCCGCCCCATCCCACTTTTCGCACTCCAGCATGGCCGACCCCAACGTCCAGCAGTCAAGACAGCAGCCCGGCGCCTATCCCTCGCCGCACTCTTACCCGTCGCCCTCAATGCAGTCCACCTACAGCTACCCGCCGCCCCAAGGCCCTCAAGGCAATGAGCCCTATCGTGGCTCGCCGCAGCAGGCGAACAACCTGCCGTCGCTCAACCTGCCGCCGATACGTGCCATGGACGGACAGCAGCCGCCGCCGCCTCAACCTCAGCAACAGCAGCAGTCCATGGGCTCGCCGCTGCCTCCCCCGCCCCACGGAATCCCGCAGTACTATGGCCACCCAGCGCATCCGCATGCGCCGTCCGGCCAGCAGATGATGGGCAACATGGGTCCTGCGCAGTTCAATGCTGCAATGCGATACCAGCTCCCGCCACAGCACGGCGACCAGCGAATTCTGTCCGGCGGTCGCCACAAGAAGGAGATTAAGCGTCGCACAAAAACTGGATGTTTGACGTGTCGCAAGCGAAGAATAAAGGTGAGTCCAGCCCGGAGCCTTTCAGCGCATTTCGTATCTCGAGTCGGCGCGACTCGAAAAGTATCAGCGGTGGTGAGCTTCGATATGCGCTTTGCGCGAGTCAATGGCGATTGGTTGTCTGACGCGACGCGTTGCGCGCGCTGCTCCCAAACCGTCGAGCCGTAACCGAGAGCCATGAAGCGAGCCCCAAACTTACCTGCGAACATTTACCCTAACCTGGCCTCGCTTTACAAATGCGCTAACAACACCACTTCACAGTGTGACGAAGCCCATCCCGTCTGCAGAAACTGCCAAAAGAGCAAGCGCGAGTGTCTTGGCTACGACCCAATCTTTAAGCAACAGCCCGGTCCAGCACAAATACAACCCGCTCCCAACTCTGCTCCCGCACCTCACTCGTCAACCCCAGCAGCCACCCCTGCTGCGCCTGCGTCTACGACATACAGTCAGAGCCCAGTACCACAAGGCTACGCACCGGCCTCGTCGGCAGGATACGCACCGGCCGCATCTGCGACCAGCGGTGCACACCCTCCAGAGAACTTCAACGCAATCGACCCTGCGCTGGCTGCTCCACAAGGACAGTCAATGCACCAGGGCCAGCCACACTACAACGGCGTACACCACATGGATCCCGCTATGAGGGGCCCGCCAGGTGCAGCTTATGCCCATCCACCGCCAATGCTACCACCAAGCAAAGGTGCGTCTTCACTATCAACCCTCACCTTGTTACAGACTGACAATTCGCCAGGCAAACCCTTGACCATGGCCGACATCTTCGGCATATGCAACCACAGCCCACCAGAGGTGCCCCCTCGCCAGGCGCCCATACCGCCCCAGGTTGACGACGAATTCAGGACAATTTTTTTCAACGACTACTGCGCAGGCCTAGATATCATGCTGCAAACTCCTTGGTTCACCACAAACGACAATGCCCTTCACCGGATATTTGCCGATCGCGCGCTACACGAGGAGGCCGCCTACTTCACCGAATCTATGAGAGCTGCCAAGTCACAAACCTCTGATATGGCGGGGGTTTTCAGTCAAGAAGCTCGACTAATTTGGCATTTGCTGAGCACGTGCAAACACCCAGCACCTAGTACCAATGGTCTGCACGCATCAGTGCATTCGAACGAGAACGACGACATATCCGTCAGAGAGGTGCGGGGGCGATTCGACATTTTGGAGAGCCTTCTCACCAACCAGAACCTGGCGCCCAATCCACTGCGCCAGTTTTCTTACCCTCCCGACTTACCTGAGCAGAAGAAGGCGGAGGTGGACTTCTGGATTCATCTCGGTGACTTCGTCCAGTATTCCGGCTCTGACTCGGCGCCTCATGGGGCTGCGGATTATGCTCTTTCCATCATGCGCAATGTCTTACAAGTCCAGGAGGTCCGCGATGCCATCTATAGCATAGCCATTGCGCGCCATTGTGGCAGTCGGACACCGGGCTTCCCGAATCAATTACCACCCGTTACGAATCCAAGCGAGGACAGCGACCTTAACAAGCTCACTGTGGCAATGTCCTTCATTAGTCACGAAAGTCGGCAGGGTTCACAGCAAGTCTTGGCCCGCGTATGCGACATGGCAATGTTGTCCTGGGAGGTAGCTAGGTCTCCATAGCGTGGAGTGGGCTCGATGCTGCACTTCGCAGTTCGCCCTTCTTCGAATGACGAAACGAAAAGCCGCCGCCCTTTCCGTGTGGTTATATACACACTGTCCACGACTCTATCGACGTAAGAGCACCTCACTCAACGATCGTGTTTGGCATGTGGGTATGCCACCGTCGAAGATATTTCTTATGCCCCTAGATTGCTATTTCTTCCCCAGCGGAATTTCCAATCCCAGATATAGTTATCAACAAGCACCGCGACTGTACACTTGTACATTATACCACATTGCCCTTTTTGCTTCTGATTTTCTTGCATCTAGCGCGTGGAGCTGGTGGTCAGTCACGTTTGAGGCAGATACAGCTTATACCCGGTTCGACCCTTGGTCGTGTCCTGCGTTTTCTTCGATTAGTATGGCAACAGTAATTTTTATTTCGGTACGTGGCCTGTTTGGTTATGCCCTGGCGCGTTGCTCAATCTCGTCGATTAAGGATCTTCGTGCGAGACTATAGGAGAATGAAAGAGAACCCTTTTGCGCCCTCACTTCTCGCGAATCTTGCCAGTACCGTGTATCGCTCATGAACACTAGGGATCGACATGAATAGGAAGTGCATTAGCAACGCCAATACAGCCTCGGGGTACGAAGTTTAGCTGACCCTCCTTGCAAGAATCTGGACATCGCCTGTCAAACGAGAGACAATTTCTCAGCAGTTCAAATCCTTCTAAGAAGAGGCTGTCGGCACTATGCCATATTGAAAGGAACACTTGTTCGGATTCACAATGCAACAACGTCACCAAAATTAGCATAGTCTGCAAAGGTTCGTTGTATACCTCGACAGCCATGCATGTACAAGGAAGTGTGCTATCATATATCAGCGGCGCTGCGAAGAAACCCTCTTCAATTCGAATGGACCTACGGCAACTGCAGTCTCCATGACCAAGTGTTTCAAAAAGTCTCTCCCAGGACAAGCGTCCCCCGTTTCGCTGAGCTCCTGATGTAGTACAACGCGGTCACTAGTCACACAACATACCCTACAACGGCCCTCTAATCAAACATTATACCTCTGATGTTTGATTAGACCCCTCCCACATAAGCCAATAGGTGCTCAAACCCGCCTAGCATCAACACCCTCCATCACGACATCGACATACACCGCCACTTCAGTGACACCGCACCCGCTCCTATCACCACTCTCCCAACGTGTTTACCATAGATTGGACACTGCCCGCCACCTCACCCATACAGACCGAGAAGCGCATATGACGCGTCAGTCGCGCCCCCGCTACGCACGTCCAACCGTGACGCAAAACCGTCTTTCGGAGAATTTCCACTACCCTGGGAATTTCACTGATCGACGCGAAGAGATCTGCTACCGTAGTCGTGTGCCACCGAACAGGCCGTTCTGTGCTCGGTCCTTGGCCGCGAAATTTGCCGCATGTGGTGCGACGCAGCGGCTTTGAAGTCTGGTTGCACGACTGACATGGAGAGCAGCAGTTCTTGCACTGCGGTTGCGCACGGCATATGCAAAGGCGATCGTTATCGACCAAAAGGTCGTTTGACAGTTCCGAAAGTGCCGAGTTGTGGGGCACATGTTGTGCTTGGTGTGTGTTTGACGATGGAGGTAGAGACTGGGAAGGAGTTGTAGGGTATAGTTACTTTGCGTAGACGGATGAGGAGTTTGTACCCATCATCTTGAAATCGACTGGGTTGTGGCGATGTAGTTTTTATTGGATCAAGAGGATGGGAGTCATTTAAGCATCGGAACTGCAAGGCTCTCGAGTATCTAAAGTGGTCAGGTATGTGCATTAAGCGTCAGCTTCCCTAAGATGATTCGATTGTACTTGGTTCCTCTCCGAAGTATGACAGAATGGTGGTGGGACTAGGACTGAAAGGTATACGAGAATTTCTATTTTACCCCACCATCTCATCTTTGACCCCTTCTGGCAACACAACTAAGCCGCCTTCCAGTCAGCCTTCCAACTCTTCCAATAGCCTTGTGACCTTACATTGTCTATGAGAATATAATCCATTCTATTTTCTCTCTCTCCATCTCACATCAGAAACCAAAGAACGGTCGCTTAGCTCAGTTGGTTAGAGCGTGGTGCTAATAGCAAATACTGCCTTGACACGCCAAGGTCGCGAGTTCGACCCTCGTAGTGACCATCGTATGTTTTCTTTTTGCTGTTGTGGGTGTCTCAGCTATTCAGGAGGTTGAGGGTTGAGTGAAACGCAGCTCATGTACGTATGGCATCGTTGGAGCGTGACGACGGAGCAAGCAGGATGGCAGGATGACACGATGACTGTGTTTTTGCTATTCAGTAAAGCTCGATTGAATAGAGCATTTATTCGAGTGTTTTCTGCCTCACAAATAGAGGTCATGAATTGTCAATACTGAAACCAGTCATCACGCTCCAGCTTCGTCCTTGCGGCTCTGCGAACTAGAACGGTAAGAGCCGAGGCTGAGCGCCGATGCCGCCAGAGCACAGGAACAGCAAGCAGGGCGGCGGGGCATGGATTGCGCACGCGGGGTATCGTCGCAAGACCAGAGGCTTGAAGGGTCTATGCGATCGGAATGCTTGTAAACTAATGTTGAATTCACTTTCCCTGTTGCAGCCCTAGAGCTACCATGTGCTGATTGCAAACGTCTAACAGGGCGAGGGCGCAGGGCGCAGGGCATTGGAAATTTCTTGAGTCACAGCGATCCCGGAGCTGCTATACAACATCAACACCCCACGGGGACCGCATTACTTTTCCACTTATCTGACAGGTCAATTAGTTGCCGCTACTTCTTCCTTTGTTGTTGCGCAGGCCGTGAGAAAATAATTCTTCGTCATGTCTTCGCATACCACATCTCAGCGCTACTTGAGCACCCGGGGAGGATCCTACGATGTGAGCATGCGAAACCAGCCACCAACCACCACGTCTAACGCGTCATAGCTGTCTTTCGAGGAAGTCGTGCTGAAGGGTCTTGCCTCAGATGGCGGCCTTTTCATCCCAGAGGAGATTCCCACACTGCCCGATAATTGGGCGTCGACGTGGAAAGACCTGTCCTTCGAGGACCTCGCATACGAAATCTTCTCCCTCTACATCTCGTCGTCTGAGATACCGCCCGCAGACCTGAAGGATATCATCCGTCGCAGCTATGCCACATTCCGCACGAAGGACGTTGCACCAACCGTCACGATCGACAAGGAGAAGAACATACATCTGCTAGAGCTGTTCCACGGACCTACGTTCGCTTTCAAAGATGTCGCACTGCAGTTCTTGGGCAATCTGTTCGAGTACTTCCTGGTCCGCAAGAACGAGGGCAAGAGTGGACGCAACAGGGAGCACCTGACCGTCGTTGGCGCAACGAGTGGAGACACTGGTTCTGCAGCCATCTATGGTCTGCGTGGAAAGAAGGATGTGTCAGTCTTCATCATGTTCCCACATGGCAAAGTCAGCCCGATTCAAGAGGCACAGATGACGACGGTCATAGACGCCAACGTGCACAACTTAGCGGTGGATGGCACATTCGACGACTGCCAGGTATGGAAAGCACTCCTCTGCTTGTACATTCACAGCTAACGCTCTTCAGGACTTCGTCAAAGCTCTCTTCGCAGACCCTGAGATCAACAAGACGCACCGCCTTGCCGCCGTAAACTCCATCAACTGGGCCCGTATCCTCGCCCAGATCACCTACTTCTTCTACTCGTACTTCAACCTTATCAAGTCACCTTCCTTCCTCCCAGCGTCCACCGTCCGCTTCGTGGTACCGACTGGCAACTTCGGCGATATCCTTGCAGGCTTCTTTGCGAAGCGCATGGGTCTCCCGGCGGAGAAGCTGGTGATTGCGACGAACGCAAACGACATTCTACACCGATTCTGGGAGTCTGGCAGATACGAGAAGCATGCGGTGCACGGAAAGCAAGCCGAGGGCGGGCTGCCAGAGGACGGCGCCAAGGCGCATGAGAGCGGTGTGAAGGAGACCTTGAGCCCGGCCATGGACATCCTCGTCTCGTCCAACTTTGAGCGCTTACTCTGGTTCCTTGCCTACGAAGTCTACAGCACAAACTCCGATGCGGTCAGCCAGCGACGAAGCCAAGCCGGCGACCACGTCCGAGGGTGGTTGAACGATCTCAAGTCCAAGGGTGGCTTTGCTGTTGACCCGCAGATCCTCAAGGCCGCGCAAGCAGACTTCGCCTCATACCGTGTTAGCGATGATGAGACCATCGACATGATCAAGTACATCTTCAGCGCAGAGGCATCGAAGAGCTACGTCCTGGACCCACATTCTGCCATTGGTGTTGCAGCAGCACTTCGCTCGGCGGAGGTCTCAAAACCTCCTTCCACACACCACATTGCGCTTGCCACTGCGCATCCGGCTAAGTTCGCAAACGCTGTCGAGCTGGCGCTACCGGAGCAGAAGGAGTACTTCCAGGCCAAGGTGTTGCCAGCTGAATTCAAGGGTCTTGAGGATCTGCCTCGAAGAGTCAGCCATGTCAAGCGCTCTGAGGGCTGGGAAGGTGTGCGCAAGGTCGTTATTGCGGAAGTAGAGGCAGAGCTACAGGCTGCTGAAAAGGAGGGTAAATTGTAGACAGTGTTCATAATATCAGAATGATAGAAAGGGGCGTTCTTTCTTGTCCACAGCCCAAAGGTAGAATCAGACGCTCTAGAGTTCGCATTTGACTCAGATGATCAACTCTTCGCTGCTACATGACTGTCCTTCGCCTTCGCATCTCTCTTCCGAACAACATCCGTCTCAAACTCCAACCCTGCCCTCGCCCTCACAACCCCAAACACAGAACTACTATCCATCCTCCTTCCCCTCTCATCCCCCCACACCTTCGCCTCCCCGGCCGCATCAAGATACATCTCGCCCACCCTCAACTCCAGCCCCTTCTCCTTCGCCACCCTAACCCCATGCCCCACATCCTTAATCCCCAACTCTAGCCCCGACCGCGGCGCCTCCCCCTCGGCGGGACAATACGCGCCCGAAATCAGCCGCTCCGACACGCCCGCCGCATAGGTTCCAAAGTTCTCGGAGACAAGCGTATGCAGCGTATCAGCGGGTAGGCCCGAGACGGAGGCGAGCGTGTGCGCTTCCGAGAGGAGATACATGAGACCCGCGGTGATGAAGTTGCTTGTCGTTTTTAGGAGGAGGGCTTGAGATGGGTCGGAGCCGACGGGGATGACGGCGCGTGCGAGGACGCCTTGCAGGAATGGGGCCACGGTAGAGATTGCGTCGGGGGCGCCGGCGATGGCCATGAGCAGCTGGCCGGCTTGGGCGACGGGCGTGGAGCCGAAGACGGGGGCGGTGAGGTAGATTGCTGATAAGGAGGAGAGCTGGGTGGTGATGGAGGTGGTGGTGGAGGGGTGGACAGTTGTGGTGTCGATGATGATTTTGTTGGGGAGGGAGGGGACGGCGGAGATTTGGTTGATGAGGGATTGGAGGGCGGTGTCGTCGCTGACCTATGTGGTGTTAGATGGAGTGTGTTCTGGTGTAGTTTTATGCGGTGCGTACGGAGATGAAGATTATGTCGCAATTATCAACGAGGTCTTCTGGCGATTGAGACGTTATGCCGCCGATTTGCTTCAATGGCTCTCCACGTGATATCGTCCGATTCCAGTATCTTATGGAAGGAAGTGAGTTGTCTACGAGATGCTTTTGTAGGTTGGTTGCCATGGCTAGGCCCATGGAGCCCAAACCAATCCATCCAAGTCGGATGGTATCTGCTGCAGACATGTTGAAAATGGTTTTATATATTTTCCTTTTCTCTGTGGGAGATGCGACACTGAAAACCCTCCAGATTGAGGGAAAGATCAAGTGAGTCACGATAGTTCGATCGAGCGAAGTACACATCACACTAGCGTAAATAAGGCAAGCAGCTTCCTGCTGACGGATATTAAAGGACCACGAAGGCATCAAAAAGGCATCATCAAAAAGGAGTATTAGTATGCTGGACTAAAGACAAGTAGCATGAACTGAGTGGTGAAGTCTACTTAGGCTATCATAATAACATGATCTATTCGTGGACGTGGACCATTCGCTTAAACTGTGCTCTCCTTCCCATCTACAACATAGGTCTGGGTGATAAGTCCATTAGCGTTCTCGCCTTCCAGAACGCCCGTGATTGTGCTAATACCCTCATGCTCGAAGAATCCTTCATTGGCTGCCATCTCTTCGAAAGCCAATGGACGTTCTGCACCCGTCGGGAGGATCTGCACTGGCCAGATGAGGCACAATAGGTAGTACACAAAGCCTCCCATGAGGAAGGACAAGATGAAGCCAAGCTTGTACATGTTTTTGCTCGCGAAAGACACCGAGGTCGGGTCCAGCGATCCGGCAACACCGTGAACTGTGAAAGCGACTCCAGACACCCAAGCTGCAAGCATGCGCAGATTCCATCCTTTGTAGTAGGTATACGGGCTTGTTGGAGTTGAGACGTATAATGACGGTACGTGGAAGTTGCCCTTCCTAATCATCCAGTAGTCGACGATCATGCAAGCGCAAATAGGCATCAAGAAAACCGTGTAACTACCCAGGAAGGTGAGAAAGGAAGTTGCAGACGCGATTATTTTCCACGGAACGAGAAGCGGAGCAAACATAGCGCAGAGCACCTGGCCACGGATAATTGTAAGCCATTTTGGAAAGATGCCGGTAAGATCGGCGCCGACTGGCATCGAGTTGCTCCCGGCGTTGATGACGAGCACGGCAAGCATCATGCCGAAAGACGCAAAGACCATGCCTGCGCGTGCTCCGGCCGTCCAGTATTGGTCGAGGATGGCATTGTAGAGATCCCAGACGTTCCAGTACGATTTGCCAAGTACTTGAGTCGCGGCAGCCGTTGTTGCAGTACTCACAAACATGACGAGTACTTTGCTGATCAAGATACCGATTCCTTGACTCCAAGTCACATCACCATAAGAACGACCATAACGACAGACGTCTGGCTGGTTGATCAGAACTGGTGCCAGAGCCCCCATGACCGAATTGACTACATATGATGTTAGCATTCACGCTCCTGTATATAGACGGAAGTACTCACTAGCTTGGATCATGGGCCAGATCAAATCTGATCCTGACAGCCGAGTTTGCTTTGTCGTGTACTTGAAGTCGCCGATACTGCCGCCATTGGCAGAGACGACCCAACCGAGTACACCCAAGAGGGATATGGTTGAGATGATAGCTTTGACGACAAAAAGATGGCGTAGTACGGTTGGGTGGATGAACATAACCGGCATTTGCACCTTGAAAGATCAGTCAGTCCTGAAGCTACATGAAGGCCGAAACATTCCGACTTACAATCCAGAACAAGAAGAAACTCAACAAGTCTCTTGATGTAATCCCTGCACTCGCTGGAAGGCGGTTGGGAATGTTGTGATATCCATTTCCAAAAATTCCTCGCATGAAGACTGAAGTAATCCGACCGCCATAATATGTTTGTGTGGCGAAGTAGATAATGGCGACAATAGCGCGAACGAGGATGTACAAGCTCGCACCTCGAACGCCTCCTGATGCTCGAACATATACCGGGAATCCGATGAAGTATTTGATTGCGCCACGGCTATTGAGTACGACCAAGACAGTTAAGATGGCGGAACCAATGACTGCAGCGATCAGGCCATGCCACCAAAGTAGACCTATGGATACGAGTGAAGCACCAAGGTTGTAAGAGCTTGGAGAAAAAGTTTGAGTCAAATAATAAGTGAAGTAATGTTGCCAATGCCAAAGGCGATCCGCTAAAGCACATCAGTATGAGTATTGGAGCATGGATTTGTGTGACCTACCAGGAGGACTAGGCAGCAAATCCTTGTTATATCGCACCTCCCCTTCCTGAGTGGTAGTCTGCAACGTCTCCTCGAAGCTCTTTGGTGAGCCAAAGGCATCTTTGCCTTGCTTCAGAAAGCGCAGCATGTCGAATAAGATCTCGTTGCTGTTGATTCAACGTCAGCTGAGATGCCATCGTCCAATTTGCGATGCTAGATCGCTAGGTAATATATGCATGTTGCCACAGAAGCCAAGGTCTTGTACCATTGGTTGGAATACGGACGTAGCGAAGCTTTCCAAGCCGAGCTCGTTGGCAAAACAGATAAGTCAACAGCAGCGGTAAGTGGATTAAGCGCAGACGGGAAGGTTGGCTGGACTTTCGGAGGTTCGCCCACTTCTGCTGCCGAGACCCACTTGCCACTGCCACTTCAACACCAGCCGGCAGCGATAAGCCCACGGCTTCTCACTTTGTGCATTCGCGATGACTATAAGTCAATTATTACCGTCGAAAACCCGCTCTCTTTCAACGGCTTTGAAGAGGCTCTCTAAGTTGAATCAGAGCCATGCGTCCTTGCGAGCACATGGCAATATATCCCTCACATCTTCATCACAGGCTTTTTCTGCGGGTCTAACGCAATAGCAAACTTCCTTCTCATGTATAACAACTGCAACATTGCCATTTTTTTAACTTTCAAGTATGAGGCTCATAGGCAACTTTAAAGCCGGCCGGGAATTGTTCTGGTGCAGGTGGGTCCATCGGCTCCGCCTTCCTACGTACCTATTAGAGGCCCCTGCGTGACGAACTTTGCATTAACACCATCGGTATGCAATAGTATAAAGTCTTGCGTTGAGTGCGTATTCTTCTCTTCTACAATACTCTCGGTATGAAAGACCGCCAGAAAAAGGCCGAAGCTGCAGTCTTCGACCAGACCAACATCCTCCCTAAGAAAGATCTGTTGATCGTCTTCGGTGCCTTGGCCGTATCCCTATTCATCTGTTTCGTCGATCAAAATGGCATCGGTGTTATGATTCCTACGATCGGCCATGAACTGCATGCTGAAGCCACAATCAGCTGGGCAGGAACCAGCGCCTTGATTGCAAACACGCTTTTCCAGGTTCTCTATGGCCGCATGTCTGATTTGTTCGGTGAGAGCGCTAGAATACATCGCAAATAACTGTCTCTAAACGTTGATGACAGGAAGAAAAGCTGTTTTCATGTCGGCACTGGCACTTCTGACCATCAGCGACTTGTTGTGCGGTCTGTCTCAAAACGCTACCATGCTCTACGTATTTCGGGGTCTTGCAGGTATTGCAAACGGTGGCATCACCTCCTTAGCCATGATGATCGTCTCTGATATCATTACATTGAAAGAGCGAGGCAAATACCAGGGCATATTAGGATCATGCGTTGGACTCGGTAACATGGTCGGCCCATTCCTCGCTGCTGCGTTCATCCAGAATTCGACCTGGAGGGGGCTTTTCTGGCTCGTCAGTCCACTCGCTGCAATATGCTGCGTTGTGTGCTTCTTCATCTTACCTACGCCAAAGGCTGCTCCTCGAATGGACTTTAGATCTGTTTCAGCAAAGATCGATTACTGGGGCATCTTGGCCGGATCCGCTGCCATCGTCCTTATACTTATTCCGGTGTCTGGAGGTGGAAGCTATTTCCCATGGGGATCGCCCATGGTAATCTCGATGCTCGCCGTGGGAGGTTGCTGTATGCTGGCATTTTTGTTCATCGAGTACAAAATTGCATTGCTGCCCATGATGCCCTGTAAGTTGTTCATAGCCTCTACATCATTAGGTGTGACAATAAGTCGTGCGCGCTCTATGTAAACTTGACTCACTATCAGAGAGAACCTGCCATCTGATATGCGAGCATGACCTCGGGAAGAGGCTCAACAACTTATCAGTACGCGACACAGTGCTTAAACACCATTTTGGTTGTTTAGATTGATTCCCTTGCCTTAATATAGTGCTTAAAGTTTTCAGGAAGCACGCACGAATTATTGCAACACCTGGTAATATACTACAAACACTGACGTCAAGAAGTATCTCTATTCAGGTCTCCGCCGGTATGCGTCATGCTCCTTCAGAACCTCTTCTTCGGCATCGTATATTACTCGCAACTCTACTACCTACCACTGTTCTTCCAGCAGGCGCGCCAGATGTCGCCACTTCTCTCAGCCGCCCTTGTGCTGCCGATCACATGCGCCCAAATGGTCGCATCCATTCTTTCCGGGCAATACATCTCTCGTAGAGAACGTTATGGGGAAGTTATCTGGACTGGATTCTTTCTCTGGACGGTTGGCGTTGGCCTAACCTGCATTTTCGACCGACGTACTCCCATCGGCGCTATCGTGGTAATCCTTCTGCTCCAAGGTATTGGTGTCGGCTTCGTCTTCCAGCCCACACTTGTCGCTCTCCAGGCCCATTGCACGAAATCTCAGCGAGCTGTTGTAATTTCCAATCGCAATTTTCTTCGTAGTCTTGGTGGTGCCGTGGGTCTTGCGATATCTGCCGCAACCTTGCAGAACTCGCTCAAGAGAGCGATGCCCGCTGAGTTTGCTTCGCTTGCAGACTCGTCGTACAATGTTCCCAACTTCGACACCCTTGGAGCATCACCAGCTCAGGTTGAAGAGATACTCCAGGCATATGCTCATGCGAGCAGGACAGTATTCATCATGAATGTGCCCTTCATGGCGCTATGTCTCCTTGGATGCTTGCTCATCACAGACCATGGTTTACAGCGGCCTGATGAAGTACAGGCTGCCTCTAATGACGATTTGAATAATAAAAATGGTTGCCAAGACGTCGAAGAAAAGGCAAGTGGCGATGCCCAACAGCCTGTACTGGACAGTCGTGGGTCGGGTGAAGCTGCGGAAGCTGCTCGATGTAAACCATGAAGGTGGTAGATGCTGTTCGAACTTCACAGGTCTTGTAATAAATTTTTTTAGCCATCAGATTTCTAGGCAGATACATCAGGCTCAGCACGTGAAATGAAAAGACGTACAGGATACCGAAGCATGACCAGGCTCGCTGTGGTCGCGCTGGCTACACTTCACAAATAGCAAACTTTCAGACGCCTTACACGAGACTTGAGAGCTTATCTACATACTACGCCAATCATTGGCTCGCTCCCAAGCGAACGACGCTTCATAAATAGCCAACTCATCCCACCATTTCCCAATAACCTGCATGCTAACAGGCAACTTTACACCATCCTTTACTCCTGGACCTTCGAGCACTTCCAGCATGCCGATGGGTAATGCCAGCACTGGATGACCACTCTGGTTGAACGGGGCTGTATTTGCTGTCAGGCCTATCTGCTTCGTAATCTGCTCAAGCGGCGTCGCGTCCGGTGCAGCATGACTAGTCGCCACATAGGGAAGAGTAGGAGTAAAGAGGACATCGTACGTCTCCAGTGCAGCATCATAAGCGTCTCGTAGCTGGCGCGATAAATTCGTTGCTTTGGCAAGTAGGTGCGGGAACTTTTCTGTAGCGTAGAGACCGTTCAGGTATATGTTCTTCGTGGAGGCGTATGCTTCGTCCCAGTTTTCCTGACCCATGGGATGAAGCAATGAGTTCAAGCCGAGCATTTGATGGCCTCTTCTTCCAAATGCGCCGGAAGTCTTGGACAGGAAGCCACCGACTTTCGATATACCGGTCCATATTGCGGCTCCTTTTGAGTGGATCGGTATTGAGACTTCTTCGACCGTGGCACCAAGATCAACGTACTTTGCTACCGCCACTCGGAATGTCTTGACTACACGCGGATCGAGAGCCGGTGTCAACAGAGACTCCGTGATGATAGCAAATAGTTTCCCCTGAAGCGGTTTCTCCATGGGCAGACTCATTATTGAGCTATACTTCGGGAGTTTCGACGGATGTGGAGCAGCGAATGACCGATCGTCTATGTTGTCGTTGCCGGCGATAGCTTCAAGGAAGAGCGCGTTATCCAAGACTGATTTCGTCATAGGACCAAGGTGATCGTTTGTCGGCTCATTGGAACCAGATGCTGTGTATGGAACCAAACCAAAAGTAGGTTTCAATCCAACGATACCGCAATTTGCTGCGGGGACGCGAATACTACCACCCTGATCGGCTCCAACTGCTCCATCAACCTCACCCAAAGCGACGAGTACTCCCGATCCACTGGAGCTTCCACCGGCGCTATAGCCCTTCGCAAACGGGCTTTCTACAATTCCAGTTCCAGATGAATGACTAGTGGCAGAATGACACATGTTCTCGCAAACGGCCTTCCCTAGGATCTGACCGCCAGCTTCTAATATCCTCGTGACTACTGAAGCATCGCAATCTGGTACGAAGCCTTTGATGAAATTGGTTCCCAAAAGCATTGGAACACCCTTGACTGCTACGTTGTCTTTTAGCGCGAACGTCTTGCCTTTTAGCTTGCCGCCTTGTGCTTGCTTATCGACGATGTTGCATTTCCATGCCCATGCGCCATGAGAATTGTCGGCCCTCTCTGGAAAATGGACATTTTCTCGCGGGAAACGTTCCTCGTCTACGACTGGAACATAGTCTAGTGTTGTGTAAGCTCGAGGTTGAATCTGTCGCGTGCACTTGAATCTACTTACCGTCCATCGCCATCAACTGCTCACTAGCATCATGGAATACGGCAAGCAAGCGTCTGTAATCTTCCCTTTCATTCTCTTTGATCGTTACTCCAAGCTGTAGACATAACTTCTCCACTGTCTCTTGGGTAACAGGATTGCCTTGGCTTGTGTCTAATGAGAAGACTGACATCTTGAGAGCCGCGTATTGAATTCAGTCAGCCTGTTTAAGTCGCTTTCACCGGCGATTTAGGCCTAGGAACAACGAAGTAGTATGGATCTGTGTGACAGAGTGTGTGCAAGTCACCTAAAACTCATGACCAAGCACCTTCGGTATCCTTCGACTGCTAAACTAAACCCACCCGTTTCTGACATTTCCTTGGTGAGTTTACCACACCGCGGAACTGGACGTGCGCATTGATAAGACAGCGGCTCCAAACACCCGATAGCAAAGCTCTCGTGCCGGTTAGGGCCCCACATGCTGACGGAACGTTCGTTCCACTCTAACTATAATGGGCAGGCGTTCGAGTCAGATTAGAACCAGGGTGCTGATAGGGCAAGGTATACTAAGTGTTTTTTGTAAAGCGTGTTGTGGCGGACATAGTATAAGATAGTCATGTTAGAGTTCATAGGACTCTATGCTTCTTGAAAAGACCGAACTAGAACACAAGTTTGATAAGACTACAAGAACAAGGTCTTGCACAATATGGTCCACGTCGAAGAATCGCTACAGCTTCCACGAGACTTCGAGGGTGAGTTGATCGCATCAAGAGTCTCCATGTCTTTACTCACCAGTCACACAGGGTTCGGAGAGTATGGTCACGATGCACAATGGCCGAACGGCGCCCGTATTGCCGTGTCTTTCGTACTAAATTACGAAGAGGGTGGTGAGCGAAATCCAATGGATGGCGATGGAACTTCTGAGCCATATTTATGGGAGAAGGGCCCATCCGGCGGTGGTAGAGAACAAAGACACCTAAACGGAGAACAAGACTATGAGTATGGCAGTAGATGTGGTGCCTGGCGTATTTTAAGGCTCATGAAGGAGTTCAATTGGAATATGACCTTATGGGCGATTGCTGTTGCAATGGAGAGGAATCCCTCATTCGCCAAAGCGTGCGTGCGAGACGGCCACGAGATCGGCGCACACGGATATCGCTGGCTCGATATTTGGGACTACCCTCTCGAGGAAGACAAGGCGTATATCAAGAAGACTTGCGAAGCTCTAGAAGCGGCAACAGGTGCGGTCGAGCCCGCCTTGTCTGACAGATACACTGCTAACGGTTATGTAGGCGAGTTTCCAGTTGGAGCCTACTTTGGTAGAGGTACGCCAAACACTGCGAGTCTGCTTCCAATCATGTGGAAAGAAATGGGCAAGAAGCTGCTATACACTTCCGAGGTGTACAATGAGGACTCGCCGTACTGGATCGACCTTCCCTGGGAGAAAGAACTTCCCAACGAAGAGAAGGAAGGCTTGCTGATGTTGCCATACAACTACGATTGCAATGACGGCAAATTTCACATGCTGCCAGGCTTCGTAAGTTCAGCAGGCGCAACGTATGAGCAATACCTGAAAGACACTTTCGATTGCCTATACAGAGAAGGCGGGAAGATGATGACAATTCCTCTCCATTCAAGAATCGCGGGAAAGCCTGGTAGATCGGAGAGTCTGAGGAACTTCATGAAGTACATATCAGAGAAAGAAGGGGTCTGGGTGGCGAGCCGGAGAGACATTGCGAAGCACTACCGCAAGAAGTTTCCATACGTTCCGGGCTCGATAATGGGGGGCAAATAATCAGCATTAGCAGCCGTTGACATGGTTTTTGGGACGTGACTTCTCCACGATTGATCCTGCTTCCCCGAGATGAGCCCGCGTAGTGTGGCGCTAAACTAGCCTGCCCCTATGTTGCTAGAGCAATATTTCTTGATTCACATGAAACAAGTCGTTCTTGCTTCACGAGAGCATCGGTGACATCATGTTGCCGAGGCTCGATCTGAAGATGTTCAGTTTTCGGCAGGCGTGCTGGGCTCCCATCCGAATTGACACTCAAATTTGCAGTAATTGAGCATCACGGCTACATCAGCCTCATAGACAATTTGACGATACCAAGCAACATGCCGTCCTTTCTTGACACCCACAACTTGTCTATTCTGGCCATTCCAGCCTACTATGTCCTATCAGTTCTGCCTCATAGCTATGCTCTGAACGTCGCTACTGGGGGTCAGCTCACCAAATGGGACAACCGCAATCCACGCTCCTCAACCCTGAAGTCGAAGCTCAAGGACCGCCTTTCGGCAGAGGAGTTCGCCAAGTACGAGCGTCTGGAAGCATGCCACGCCAATGGCATGGAGGTGCGTTTCTCATGCATCATATTCGCGAATCAAACACAGGCTTACTGTGTTTAGAACATGCCACTCTTTGCCGCAGCAGTCGTGTTGGGTAACATGGCTGGACTGAAGAAGCAGGGCTTGGACGGATTGAATGGCTTCGCTGGTCTCTTCTTGGCTGTTCGACTGCTATACACTGGGGTCTATGCTACGCACCAGACACAAGGCCCGACTGCTGCTCGCAGCGTCTTGTGGTTCACTGGAGTGGCGCTCTGCTTTAGGACCATCATTCGTGCAGCACGGGCTCTTGGAGGAGATCGGATCTAAGTCTTTTGTGTGAAGTATGATGCGACCTTGAAAAGCGACTGGTCGAGATTAAAGAAGAAGGAGAAGCTCCAATTAGGTAGCGCTTAGACGAACATGGCAGCCTGTTTAACCGTGCTTTGTTGTCCTAATCTAACGTTATAGCTCCGTGGCTGCTGCCTGGTAAAAGACGCTGGAGTATCTGCTACCCAGAGGCGACACGCTGGTATACTTTAACATGTTGTAGCAGCAGAAACGGCCGTTAGCGATTTTCATGTGAAGCGTGCAATACCTCTCTGTGAAAAGAAGCTTGCACAAGTTCATTTGCAAGCGCGGGCAGTGGACCCTCCGCTCACGCAATCATGGGGCAGCTAAACGGATCGCCGAAACTCGTCGTTGCCTACCAGACGCGCCTCAGGATGCCCAATGCAGCACAACCAAAACGTGTCCACTTGGCCAAGGCTCTTCAAAAGGAGCAAAAAAGCTGAAACTGGTTGTTGGTTCAACAAATCTCACCGCAACTCCAGGAGACAGTCGATAAGCGATTCGATAGCAGTCACGTGTTAGTCCGTGCTCAGGTTTTCGCCCGCGTCGCCAAGTCCACCACCTCTCTTCTACCCAGGCCCTTCCTGTGCATCAATTAGAGTACATCGACAGCCCGTCCACCCCATCTCCAACCACCACCGACTCTCTTGAACATCTGCAGTAAGTAAACGTCGTCGCCCCGCACCGCAGACCGAGGCTTCGTCCACTCTACAGTGGGCGCCGCTTGCCGCACTCGCCGCTCACTTCCCTCGAAGCCGCATCAGGCGCTCAATACTGCATGCGCCCGCACAACACTCACCTCGATGCACCCACACGACCGGCAATAGCGTGTTGCTGCTGTCTTTGATAGCGTACTAACCCGCGGCTCTACAGGTTCGAGGGTCTTTACACCGCCTACCCACACCCTACACCAACACACCACACCACCCACCGCCAATATGGGTCTTACATTCTCGAAGCTTTTCGATAAGCTATGGGGAAAGAAGGAGATGCGCATTCTCATGGTTGGTCTCGATGCCGCCGGAAAGACCACAATTCTTTACAAGCTTAAGCTTGGTGAAATCGTCACCACCATCCCAACCATTGGTATGCGACTATCTGTACGCGCATAAAAGACGCAGCGCGCTGACAAGCCGACCCGCAGGTTTCAACGTCGAGACCGTCGAGTACAAGAACATTCAGTTCACCGTGTGGGATGTCGGCGGTCAGGACAAGATCCGTCCTCTCTGGAGGCATTACTTCCAGAACACTCAGGGTATCATCTTCGTCGTTGACAGCAACGATCGCGACCGTGTCGTCGAGGCCCGTGAGGAGCTCCAGCGAATGTTGAACGAGGATGAGCTCCGGGATGCTCTCCTTCTGGTGTTCGCCAACAAGCAGGATTTGCCCGTAAGCTAGCACCAGCGCGCCGCAACTTGCCCGAAGCAAAACTGACACTTCTCCAGAACGCCATGAACGCTGCTGAGATCACCGACAAGCTCGGCCTTCACAGCCTCCGACAACGTGCTTGGGTACGACAGAGCGAAACTCCCTTATCTCAGCAGAATGCTAACAGCCACTCTAGTACATCCAGTCCACTTGCGCCACGTCCGGTGATGGTCTGTATGAGGGTCTCGAATGGTTGAGCAACTCGCTTCGCAAGGCCGGCCACAACTAAGCCGACCCGCGCATGTCGGCAGGAGCGATCTGCATTCGCCAACGTCTGCATAGCACAGACACGTCACGCCCCAAAACCTCTCTACATGGCCTGTTTCCAGCCATATGTCTCACGCAAGCCACATACATGACCATGGAACGTCTGCATCGGTGTCTTTCAAATCGGATGGTGGAGCGGACTCGATTTCATTTCACCATTGGAGTTTGTGTGCATGCTATGACTCGCGTCTCTGGATTGTTGGTGGTTTGAACCGAAACAGTCTCTGGTTACTTTATGTGGTACTATCAAATTTGAGCCTCTCTTATTAGATCGTTTTTGGCAATGCTGCTGCTTTGCACTTCTGGACGTGCTGTTCGCCTGTCAAACTGCTAACCTTGGAATCATAACAAAGAGACTTGGCACGTGAACCCGCGGCAAGGGATGAATGGAAATGGGTCTCCTCTGCGACATTGACCAATCAGGGGTGGATGCACAGAAACACTTAGAAACTGCATCGATTCATGAGTTCATTGCTCTATTCGATGCATATACACATGCTTATGTCGTTATTTGATGCCTGAACGCCAACATCCCAGACTGTTCATTCAAACCCTCATATTTGGCCCAACGCAAGCAAAGGGAAATGGCTACGAGAAGTACCCGATCACATCTGTATCAACTCTAGAAGCTGACATCACCTCAATCATCAAGCAGCAGGTTGCGCCGGTTGGCCACTCGAAGTCGCGCCAACAGGTGGCAGCAGACCCTTCTCATTCCACAGGTCAACCAACGGCTGCATAGGCTCAAGCTCCTTCTCACCAAGCAGGTTGAACAGCTTGCCAACGTTGATGAAGTGGATGAAGCACGTGTTGAGCTCCTTGTACGCATTCACGTTCCAGAAGGGCTCGAGCCAGTGGCCATGGTAGATGTGCGCATAGCATCGCATCATCTGGCGGTAGATGCTCTTGATGTCTGCCTCGAATGTCTCTGGGAAGCCGGAGGGCTTGCCGAGCCACTCGTTGCCGGCTAGCTGCGATAGCGGGGCATTGAGGCTGGTGGGTCCAAGAGGTTGAGGGGTGCCGCCACTTGACAGAGATCCTGATGCATAGGTGGAAGCGCCGATGGAGACAGAGGTGGTGTCGGTTGGGAAGATGTTGGGGTCGTTGATCTTGCCCACGATCCACTTCTGAACGAGGTTGATGTACTGGATGGCTGGGATCTTGATGGGCCTCTTCTGGTTGTCGAGCCAGGTGTAAGTGTGGCCGCTGGCTGACATGGTAGGGCAGACATCTGGGTTGCAGATTGGCTTGCCAGTCCTGTCGTCGTGGACTTTGATGATCTCAATCATTTGCTCCAGCAGACGATACTGCTCGACGACTGCTCACGTGGTCAACAATGACCCCTCACTTTGTGGGAATTGAGGCTTACCTGTGTGTGCGAGCCATTCGCCCTCGTCGACGAGCTTCGGCTTGGCAGCCAGAGTCATGAAGTTTCCCTTCACGATGAGGTTGGAATACTCCTCACGGAAGAAGAATGGCGGTCTGCGGGAGCCAGCCGGCACGGAACTATCCGGGGCACCCTGGCTTTCGAACGACATTGCGGAAGACAATGCTGGCGAGTGTGGCATAGGAGGCACACTCGGCAGCTGCTGTGAAGTAGGAGAGTTCGAGTATGGGGTTGTGGGAGAAGGAGTGCCTCCTTTGCCCTGTTGCTGGGTACCTTTGTTGGAGCGACCAGCGAGCCCTTGGCGTCTAGCAGCGATATGTCAGAGCAAAGCAACCTGAGGTTCCGCAGCAAGATATATAAACAATGGAAGGCGGAAATATCAGAAGCGAACTCATGTGCATATCACACGTTCAAATCCTGAAACAAAAGCAGCAAAGTGAGACTGAAACAGACATGCTTGACATGGGCCAGGCGAAGAGCATTTGGGGAAGGGAGCTGTGCCAAGCACTTACACGCTGGAGAAGAAGGACGCCATGATTGCAGCTGCCGGGTATGCAGTGTCCTGAACAGACGAATAGGGCGAATGCTAGGCTCTGACTAGGGCGACAGAGTGCGTATGCAGCAGACAGAGAGGGGGATGTTGTTGGTGGTACGTCTCGAGGAGCCAGCGATTTTGGGTCCGCCAGGGCTGCATCGAGAAGGGGCGGCGCGCTAGAGCGGATTGGGAAAGCGCGACTTCACTGTTGCTCGGAACTTTGTTCACCAAGCTGTCAGGTCAACGTTGCGCACCTTTACCTTGACGTGCCGACCGCGTCTTCATCAATCCTGCACATCGTTGGTCGCGTCAATTCTCTTCGCATCCGGACAGTCTTTGCGATCAGCAATTACAGCTATCAAAAGAACAACCAGCCGCCGCCATGTCTGACGCGGAAGCCAATGCGGCCATCTCAGATAATGAGGTCGATGATCTAGCGACTCCAGCGGCCAACGAGGAAGTTGAGGCACCACGTGATACAGTAGAGGAGAATGGTCTAGATGAGGACGAGGACGACCTGTTTGGCGACGGTGGAGACGACGAAGAGGAGCCAGCGTAAGTAGCTGAACAGACAGCTGTCCATGAAGTCGAAGCTGACCCTATATAGAGCTCGCAAACTCGACGATGAAGAACTCGACTCTGGCGACGATGAAGGACGCGCAGATCGCGCCAGGGCGCAAGAAGCTGCGGAAGAGGAAGGCGAGCAGCATACATTCGCGGTTATGGACGCGGATATTGCGCGACACGCCATACCAGAACCCAGCGACGGTGAGCTCTACTTGCTCAAGGTCCCGCGCTTCCTCTCCTTCGACCCCACGGCATTCAGCCATAAGACGTTTCAGCCCCCGACTACAGACCACCACTCAAAGCTCCCTGCGTCCGACCAATTCTCTGCCTACAATACCGCCATGTCCACGATCCGATGGCGCCGCTCACCCTCAAACAACGCCGAGCTCCAGTCAAATGCCCGCATCCTGAGATGGGCTGACGGCTCCCTCACTCTCCAGATCGCGAACGACCCGACCATGCAGTTCGACATCGATGCGAACACGCTTGCGCCGCCCCAGGTCAAGCCCAAGATCCCCACACCCACCTCGATCAAGGCAGGCGCAAAGCCGAGTGCCAAGTTGGAGAGCTACACATATCTGGTTGCGCCGTACGAGGAAGCGAACGTCATGCGCGTGACGAACAAGCTCACAACTGCGCTCAGCGTCGTGCCAGCCGCGAACCTCAAGGACACCGCCCTTGAGAAGTTGCAAAACGATCTTGCCCAGATTGCCAGCCGTGGTCGCGACGACGCCGATCAAGCCATTTCCTTCGTCGATGTGAATGAGGACCCGGAATTACGGCGGCAGAGAGAAGAGGCCACTTTCAAGGAGAAGCAGCGACAAGCCCGTGCTCGTGAGAAGCACGAAGCCCGTCAAGCTGAACGTGCGGTCCGCACCGTTGGTCGCTCTGGAGGTCGCACATCTGGTCTCAACATTGACGACCTCGAAGACGCTGCCAGTCGCCCACGCAAACCACGCCAGAAGGGCGGCTTACGGCGTGACTGGAGCGACGATGATGACTTCGCAAGAGGTCCCGGTAGATCGAGGGAAGATGACTATGACGAGGAGGACGACTTCATCGCAGCCAGTGACGAGGAGCCGGAGATTGTGGATGACGACGATGATCTGGACGAAGGCATCGCACCTAGTCCCAAGAGGAGGGCTGGTGGAGATGATGATGAGGACGAGGAGGTCGTGGTCAGCAGGACGAAGAGGAGAAGGGTGGTCGACGATGATGAGGATGACGAGTAGTTGAATAGGATCGCTATCTTGCAGCCTCAGAAGCCCGCGAGTAGTAAAAGCTCGAAGCGTCTTCATTATTTGGATATCAGCATAGCACGGCGTACGGTCAGATTTGCTTCATCTGTAAGATCAGGAGGTCGGATATCACAATTCATACAGCAATATGACGCTAAATGTTCGATTGTCAGATTATTTTCAGACCTTCACTCAGGTGTAATGTGGGACCTGTCCCTTGTCTCCTTCCACACCTTCCTTCAATGGCGAGATTCCATTATCGATCTTCTTTGGTCCCGGCCTCTTGAAGTGCGGCTTCAGTGGCTCCCAGCTCTCGGCGTTGTAGTCCTCCTGCACCTTCTTACACTGCTTCAAGCCCCAGTCCGTCACACCGATCATCAAGCAACTCTCAAACATGAAAGCCATACTGCCCTCCCCAACCTTGTTCGGTTGCAAGTTCACGTTGCTCGCCTTCTCATGCGTCGCAGCATCCGGTCCATGTCCCGACATGATATTATGCAGCGACGCACCAGCAGGCTGGAAGCCACCACCCGTCTTCGCATCGTACTGCCCTCCAATCAACCCCATGAACTCCGACATGGTGTTCCTGTGATACCACGGCGGGCGGAACGTGTTCTCCGCTACAAGCCATCTTGGCGGGAAAATGACAAAGTCCGCCAGCGCCGTGCCGGCATGTGCAGTTTGCGCCGTCAACACCGTAAAGATGGACGGATCCGGATGGTCAAATGATATCGAGCCAATGGTGTTGAATCGCCCCAAATCGTACTTGTACGGATAGTACAATCCATGCCACGCCACGACGTCAAACGGCGTGTGGTTCTGCTTCGCCGCGTATAAATGGCCAGCGAACTTGCCCAGCACATGCCACTCGGACTCGGTATCTTCGTCGAAGTCAGCCACGGGGGCTTGGAAGTCTCGCGCATTGGCGAGGCAATTCGACCCAATAGGGCCCAGCTCAGGGAGTTGAAAATGGCCCTCGTACAGCTCGAGGATGTAGCCGCGCACAGGGCCGTCGGGCAGCGTAACGCGGTATCGTATACCTCTGGGTATGACGCAGATTTCGTTGGGGCGCACGACGAGGCGGCCGAGTTCGGTTTGGATGTCGAGAATGCCGTGTTGCGGGACGATGAGGAAGTCGCCGTCGGCGGAGTAGAAGGGCTTCGTTCTTCGCCATGTCTTTGCCCGCCGCGTAGATGAAGTATCCCACGCCCGTCTTGGTGGTTGGGTCGCCGTTGCCTGCGACGAGGTGGAGTGAGTGCACCCAGTCTACTGTCTCGTCCAAGTCGAAGGGATCCCATCGGAGCTGGTTGGGGATGAAGTGGATCTTTTCCCAGGGCTTATTCTCAGGGTTTGTGTTGAAGGTCTTGGATTCGCGGGGTTCGAAGTTGCTGTGCCCGCATGAGGGGAGGATGCGGTAGAGCCATGTTTGCTGGTTCTCGTGGCGTGGGGCTGTGAAGGCAGTCCCTGATAGCTTCTCGGCGTAGAGACCGTATGGAGGCTTTTGTGGGGAGTTTGCGCCGATGGGAAGTGCGCCTTCTACTGCTTCACTCCTAGAACCAGGTCAATAGGTGCAATTGGGTGGTATCTGAGAATACACACTCGTGGTAAGAGTTGAAGCCATTCTGATACTTGTACTTCTCCTTGAACGCAAACTCTGTCACAGGCATGGTGATTGTTTGTGAAGAGATTCAATGGTACGCGTAGATGAGTTGTACGACAAGAGTGTGATTCGCGAAAGCGTTACGTGTGGGACGCGACAGCTTGATTAGGTATATTCAGCAAATTGTTAATTAGAAATCTACATGGTCAGACAACTCAAATTTCCTACCACAAGCTTCAGTCCAGCCATAGCTCCATGCATCATGCGGTAATGCGCGGCTTGCAGTTCCGTGGTCATTCACATTCGCAGGCACAAAGCGGAAGGGTTGAGGTCTGGGCGGACGTGGTCGTCGGCTTACCCCACAATGAACCCCTGTCCGTTGGGTAAAGGCGGAAACTTTCCGTTCTCCGCGTTCATCCTTCTTCCGCCAGAAGCCGTCATCACCGACCGAGATGTAACAGTATGCTAGACTACACTAAATCGGAGTCGTTCCAAAGAACTTCTGCTATTGAATCTCACTAATTGTGTAGCATTAGAGGCACGTTCTCGATATCCTCTGGCTTAGGCATATATAATGGCTTCGACGCGATCTTGGTTTAGCATTCCCAAAGGGTCACACTTCTCGTTGGCGAATATTCCCTTCGGCATCATTTCGACTGCATCCTCAACATCACCACGAGTGGCAGTTGCCATTGGAGATCACGCACTAGATCTCGAAGCATTCGCTGCCAGCAATGGCTTCTCGGCGCTATCGACCATACAACCTCATCAAGCAGTCTTCTCAACCCCCAATCTGAACGCGTTTGCGGCACTGGGTCGGCCGATACATTCTGTTGTGAGAAAGTACATTCAAAGTGTCTTCACAGCAGACACACCGTATCCGGATGTTTTGAAGAACAACGTGACGCTCCAGAAGCAAGCCCTCATTCCCCTCAAGGACACCAAGGCGCATTTGCCGTTCAGAATAGGTGACTATACCGACTTCTTTGCCGGCAGAAACCATGCATACAATTGCGGTGTCATTTTCAGAGGACCGACAAATGCTTTACAACCAAATTACAACCACCTTCCTGTTGGCTACCATGGTCGAGCATCATCAGTAGTACCGTCCGGTACTCCAATCCGCAGGCCCAATGGACAGATTCTGCTTGATCCTACAGCGGAGAAGAAAATACCCACATTCTCACCGTGCAAGAAACTGGACATCGAGCTGGAGCTTGGCGCCTTTGTCTGTGGCTCAAACCCGCAAGGAGAACCTATTCCAATCGACAAAGCTGAAGATAGCTTATTCGGTGTGGTCTTGATGAACGACTGGTCTGCCAGAGATATCCAAGCATGGGAGTATGTGCCCCTTGGGCCTTTCAACGCAAAGAATTTCGGCACGACAATAAGCACGTGGGTCGTGCTAGCAGACGCGCTTGAGCCGTTCAAGACCAAGGGCCTTGAGAATGAGGCTGAGGTCCTGCCGTACTTAAAGGAGAAAGCAGAGAAGACGGTGTATGACATAAATCTGGAGATTGACGTTAAGAGTAAGTCTATGTTGCTCGCATCATTGTATTCTCGCTGATGACTCCAAGCATCCTCCGGCAACAATACGACCATATCCAAGGTCAATGCACGAAATCTGATGTGGTCATTCCCGCAGATGCTGGCGCATCACACTATCAACGGCTGTCCCTTCCAGCCAGGTGACCTACTTGGGTCTGGTACCATTAGTGGAGAGACGGCTGCTGAGTACGGTAGCTTTCTGGAGCAGAGCCAGAATGGAAAGGAGACCATCGCTTTGAACGGTGGAGAGAAGCGGACATTCCTTGAGGACGGCGACGAGATCACAATAAGAGGTATTTGTGGTGCAGACGAAGAGGCACTTGTTGGTTTTGGAGAGTGTGTGGGACGGATCGAGCCAGCATTGAAGCTGAGCTTCAATTAAATCGAATAGACCGTCTCCTGTCATATTTTCTACGGAAAATCACACATTGTATTCTCCAGTGGACTTTCGTTACCCACATGATTGTCAGGTACCCTAGCCTTGCTCGTTCAAAGGGTAGGATGACATCGGCACACATGAGCAACCAAGAACCCTTCCATGATGGTTGACGTTTCAATTAATTGTATGCGACTCTGATTCATCAAGATAGAATTTCCATATTGATAATCAGTCTTGTATCGGACATTTGATCCAGTGTATTGGGACTGAGGAATTATTCCGCTTCCACACCCTGTGTAAAGGCATTTGCTGTGCACCTCGGGTAATACTCGGTGTGAATGTATTCCTGCAAGCCTGTCTATACGTCGAATAAATTGAGCCGCATCTTCGCGTAGCATGTACATTTCCCTAGTATGCATGACCTCACACCCCACCGCGCAACTTCCCCGCACCACGCTAAGAATAACCTTTACAGACCTACCATCTGCGGCCACATTCCGCGACATCTCTCACAGTCATGCTGTGTTGCATACGAACGCGAATCCCACAGTGCTGGCGAGCCAATGAGACCAACGCTAAAGATGCTGAAGCGGATGCCGTCCATGGCAAGCGTTTGAGTTTCCATTAGCCCAGCCTCAAGGAAGTAGGATCCTTTTAGCGGCGTTGGCATTTGAGATCAGAAGTTGGGTATAAGTGCGGAAGGCGCCCTTGGAAGCTCGTTATGACTGGTACGGTCCATTTCATCATTGAGCACCAAGGAAGCCTGAAGCCAACATGACGATACCTCTTTACGTCGCTGGCGTTGCCGTCTTGGGCTTCTACCTCTACAGGCTTCTATATGGCACTGACAAGCCACACATCAAGGGCCTTCCGGAAGTACCTGGTCTGCCTTTGTTTGGGAGCTTGGTCGAACTCGGCACGAATCATGCAAAGGTAGCACAGGGATGGGCGAAGAAGTACGGTCCTGTGTTTCAGGTGCGGATGGGCAACAGAGTAAGACAAAACAACATGAAATGCTCGAGATGAATCAATGGCTAATCCAAACTACAGAGAATTGTCTTTGCGAACTCATTCGACTCGGTCCGTCATCTCTGGATCACCCACCAGTCAGCCCTCATCTCGCGTCCTACACTTCACACCTTCCACACAGTGGTCTCTTCCTCCCAGGGCTTCACCATTGGTACCTCCCCATGGGACGAGTCTCTCAAGAACAGACGCAAAGCTGCTGGCACGGCGCTCAATCGACCAGCTGTACAATCCTACATGCCTCTGATCGATCTCGAATCCACCGTTTCCATCAGAGAACTCTTAAACGACAGCAAGGGCGGGGAGCTAGACATCGACCCGCGAGCCTACTGGCAGCGCTACGCCCTGAACACAAGCTTGACCCTGAACTACGGCTTCCGAATTGACGGCGACAAGGATGCGCCACTACTCAAAGAAATCTGCGACGTGGAGCGAGGGGTAGGAAACTTCCGATCCACAAGCAACAATTGGCAAGACTACGTCCCACTACTCCGTCTCTTCCCCAGTCAGAGCAACGAAGCGAAGAAGTTCAGAGACCGCCGAGATGTGTACATGAACAAACTTCTCGACACGCTGCTGGAGAAGATAGAAAAGGGCACTGACAAACCATGTATTACTGGGAATATCATCAAAGATCCAGACGCGAAATTAAATCGCGGTAGGCCTTCCCCTCCCTATCTCTCTCCACACACCATGCTTACTTCACCTCCAGCCGAGTTAAAATCAATCTGTCTAACCATGGTATCCGCGGGTCTCGATACCGTGCCAGGCAATCTGATAATGGGCATCGCGCAACTCGCCACGCCCTCGGGCCAATCCATCCAACGCCGCGCCCACGCCGAGATCCTCAAAGTGTACCCCAACAACGACGCCTGGCACAAATGTCTCGAGGAAGAAAAAATCCCCTACATCACCGCGCTGTACAAGGAAATCCTGCGCTACTGGACCGTCATCCCCATCTCCCTGCCGCGCCAAAGCATAAAGGACATTGAATACAACGGCGTGACTTTCCCAGCGGGGACTACGTTCTACATGAACGCGTACGCTGCCGATTACGACGACACGCACTTCTCCGACCCCTACACATTTAACCCCGAGCGCTACCTTGACGTGCCCGATGGCACGGGCACGCCGCATTACGGGTACGGCGCGGGGAGTCGCATGTGCATTGGGAGTCATTTGGCGAACCGCGAGCTGTACACGGCGTTTGTGAGGCTGATTAGTGCGTTTGAGTTTACGGAGCCGGTGGATGAGAGGGACAAGCCGATTATGGATTGTTTGGAGGCGAATGCGATTCCGACGAGTTTGACGCTCGAGCCCAAGTACTTCAAGGTCGGGTTTAAGCCGAGAGATAGGGCGTTGTTGGAGAAGTGGTTGGGGGAGAGTGAGGAGAGGACGAGGGAGTTGAAGGGGATGGGGAAATGATACATAGATTGAGGCTATGATGGTGTGGGGATTTCTGTACGGACTTAGCGAATGGTATACAATGTGCGTTGAGTGGGAACGGCTGACTTACCATGTCCTAACATGTCACGTCCTTATAGGCTCAGTCACTTCAAATATGCCAATAAGATTTCATAAACGGATTCATTCTACCTACATTAAACATTCCAGTCATGCGCACATGACACTTCAAATCCAGCCATGTACAAGAATAAAGTGTTCCCCAAAATTAATCCACCCGCCATCTTTCGAAGAAAAAAAACATTGAGCCGAAGCGACTTCGCGCTCATGAGGTATCAAATGAATAAGACAAAACGCCCGAATGTAACTTCCTATATAGTCTCAATCATTTACAAGACGAAGGCAGCCGCGGCAACGAGCACAGCGCCGGCGGCACTAGCGGCCTTGACGGCAGCGCCGGTGAATTCTGATGGCGGGGCTGAGGTGGGAGTGACAGGCGAGCCACCGGTCGGCATCACAGTGGTGTTGTACGAACCCGTGGCCGAAGGAGCAGGGAGGCTAGCGCCAGATGAAGGCTTAGCACCCTGGGAGACGAAGTTGGCGCAGCCAATGCGTGTCTTGTTGGCCAAGTGGAGGACGAACGAGAGGTTTCCGAAGTAAGCGTTGTTGCCCGGGATGAGCGCGGAGTACGGGTCAACATATCTACGCCAGAAATTAGCAACCAAATTCTGTTACTTCAGGGAACAGATAGACTTACTCAGCAGAGAACTCCCCAGATGTGAAGTTGCCGTGCTTGCCGCTCAAGTCGCCGGTCTGGCACGTCTCGGGCTTGCTGGCGTCGCAAATGGGCACCTCGCCGCGCTTGTACGGGTCGAGATGGGCACCGGTGGCAGTGCAGTTGCCGTTCTCCGGGACTGGCTTCTCGTGGAGGTGGTACATGAAGGGGCCGCCAGTGGCTGGGAGGCCGCTGAAGGAGACACTGAACAAGACACCGACACCATCGGGAGCGGAGACGGCGGTGATGGCGCCGCGGAGAGGGCTGCCCTCCTTGACAGGCAGGGTAGCGACGTAGCTGGCGCCGGCTGGGTTACCAGCAACCTGAGGCGCGGGGCCGGTCTGAGCGCTCACGGCTGATGCCGCAGCGAGCAGGGTGAAGACTGAGGTGCGCATTTTGATAGGAATTGAGTGTTTGACGGAGAGTGTCGAGTGGTACTACCGAGGGTGTTAGGTACAATTGACGGAGTAGAGTAATGGAAATGCAGAGCAGAATGGTTGGGTCATGTAAGAAAGAGGAGTCGAGGTCTTATATCGGGCAAATCCCGCGCTCTGGTAAAAACCGCGGCTGCGAATTTCCCTTGTGTGATGCCTGCAAACGAACAAACGACGTCACATGGGAAGCCACAGCCGCGTCCTCTGTGAAACCCCAATGAGAAGGAACGAACTTGACTTACCGAGACAAACGAGGCAGGTGGAATGCACAGAAAGCGACAGGAATGATGTGACGAGGACTGAAAGCAAACAGCAGAGCGGAGACAGAGATGGCAAATTCGGCGATGATCCTCAGGAATACATTCGGCAGCAGGGCGGCTGCACAGTCATATATACACAAGAGGCACAGCCGCAGGCGCACGGAGGAGGTTGGCGGCAGGGTGCCACGGCGATCGCATCCTCCACCATTCCCTCGCGACACAAGCCACTACAGTGCCGCTATCCCTCAGGCCCCATGGCTGCGTCTGCACCCGCTCCAGAGCTCGGCTGCGATTGGCGGCAAGGCTGCAAATCAGTTGCGGTGATGGTGAGTATATTGCGGGACGAGGGGTGAAACCATGTCAATGTTTGCAGTGTCTTAGGCTAAGCTTTGGCGCGTGCGCTCGTCCGTTTTGAAACGCCGAGAGAAGGCGACGATCCCCCACCAATCGTTGCGCCTGTGGCCCCAGGAACCACGCCTGGGCGCAGAGACCTGCTGTGAGACCCGCGCGAATCGTCCCGTTATCAGAGGATCTTGACAAGACGCACAAGACGAATTCGACGAGGCTGGTGACAGTCCCCGCCATGCACACCAGCCGCCGACACACGCCTACACACGCCTTCTCTTTTGCAACACCGCAGCCGGAAGCGAACTCACCGTTCCTGACACCGCCAGGGGTCGCCCATGCCAACAGGGACTAATGCAGGTGCCATCCAAAATTGGATCCCAAACTGGCGGCTGTTGACTCCGTGGCTTTCAAAGCGTCTACCGCGCCCCAAACCATCACAATCTTTAGCCAGCGTTTCCACGTCTCTGCCTCAGAGGACCATCGCTGTTTCGTCTCCGGCGACGGAAATAGCCATAAACTCTCTCCGGGTATCGGCTGTCGCGAACTTGAGTTCTGCACTCCTGAGGCACGGCTTGTGCAGCACGGAGAAAGATGCGGACAACGAAAATGGACGTGGAAATTGAAGGGTCGAAAACGGAAAAATGGCTTGGAGAGAGAGAAATGTAGATTGAGAATGACGCGGATTGTGATAGCGGACAGGGTTGGTCACATCAAAGTGATGCAGCCCAATATCGGCCGTTCCGGGCATAAAGTCCTGTTGCCGAAGCGCTGCGGCACCACGTTGAGAGGACGAAGATAAAGTGCCGCCAAGCTGCGACCGGCGCAAGTGATGCGATTGCCATGATGGAGCTTGGAACTCCGTTTCGAAACTTCCTAACATCTGGGTGACAGATCACCAAGTCGGCACTCTGAGACACCCGTGGTGCTGCACCGATCGATTTTGACTTCACGCACCTGTGCCTTGCTCAACGCGCCTCGTTTCTGACTTTGTAGCTTACCCGGGCACGACACCGCCCGACAATCTCAGCCACTCCGGTTGTCTACCAGATCTTGACCGACCAGCTCGACGTCTTTGTAGGCCTCAGGCGCTTCTTCGAAGACCAAGTCTTTCTCGTCGCACACCACCCATGTCCCTTCCGAGTCCCCAGCTCTTGGCTCCAAGATGTTTATGCCCTTATATTTTGCTCCCAGCGAAGTCAATGCCTTGGTCCGCGTCATCGCCCGTCCCGCGCCGTGAGCGAGAGATAGTGCATTCTTCAGGCCCCAGGAGGTGCGTGTGGAGAAGGTAGGTTTGAGGATGAGTGTTGGTGTGCCTCGCGAGCCTGGTAGTGGTAGGAGCTCGAGTGGCTGTTGGGTCTCGGGGTTGTATGTGGGTGCAGCGCCTTTGCGATGGATCCACACATGGTCTTGTGAGGCTTTGCCATCGCTGAGACTGAGATTGCTGGCCGCGTCCGCTAAGTCCGATGATGTTGAAGGTGGAGAAGGAGGCCACTTGACACGCTCGACGTTGTTGTGCCAAATGTCAACCACTTTCCGTTGTTGAAGTTGTTTCCTGGCATACGAGATCGCTGCGACGTCGACTCGTACATCTTCAGAGCTTGAGCTACCGAGATCCCAGGCTTCGTTGCCAGGTTCCAAGCATGACAGAAACCGCAAAGCTATCAGGTCCCGATTTGCCTTTGCCCATTGGCAGGCCTTGTCGTGCTCTTTAATATACTCGATCGCCTCTGGGCTATCCTCCTGAAAGCTGACGTGGGCGTCGGTCGTGTGCTTCTTGAGTACGCTACCGCCATAGCCCCGAGAACCGGAGTGGACTAGGAGCACGACATCATTTTCCTGAAGACTCAGCTTGTCATCCGCAGACAAAGACGACTCTTCGACGACCTGGATCTCGGCAAAGTGGTTGCCGGCCCCTATGGTACCAAGTGCGATATCCCACTCTTCTCCCGTTGAGCAACTGCCATCTTCTTCGTGCATCCAGGCCTCTCTATGCGCCTGTGTTCGCCATGGTCCTTCGAGACCGCGCAGCTTCTCAGCTACTTTCTTGCCCTTGTCACCATCCACTTGACTTCGCGGAAGCGTAGTCTTAAACCAGGCCATTCCGCAACCAATGTCTCCCCCAATCAACGGCGGATGAACCCATCCTTTCGAAGCAATCACAGCGCCAATGGGGAATTTCGATCCAGGGTGAAGATCCGGCTGTCCAACCGCATGTACGATTCCAGGTAAAGTATGCGCCGTAGTCGACAACTGAGTGACAGCAAGCGTTTCGACAGGTGTATTCGAAGTAAGGAGCTCAACAGGACACTCGAGGTTGGCATGTGCTATTATTCAAAGGTTAGCCGTAAATCCCCAGATATTGGTACAGCAGGGATCATCCAGCGCAAATGTGCTCAAACTACCCAAAACAGAACTGAACTTACCATGAACGTTGGATTCGCGCTTCACGCCGACAAAATCCTCTCCAGCTGACAGGAGGAGTACAACATCATCTTTGATGTTGGTCTTCCAGTCCTCTTCGGTGAGTAGCTCGTGGCCTGTTCGCCCGACGAATATGCGCGTGGGCTTCTTCAGACGGAGCTTCGATTGCGCTGTCTTGAAGACGAGTGCGCGGATAGACGTCGAGGCTGCGGGATCAGCCGATGTAGAGGCGGGAATGAGTAGTGGAGCCTTTAAAGACTGCTTCGAATTGAGCGCTATCGTGACGCGAGTCGCAGGCATTTCGTACTGATCTGATCAGACGCTAGTCGAATGGGGAAAGTGCCGAGGTCGGTGATGGTTGTACTTTTTGCAACGTTGTTGTGAAATTTGGGAATCAGAAGTGTTGAGTTGCAATTTGAAGAGTGTGGGCAGAGTTATGTCAGGAAAAGTTTCAAGGTCAAGGGTGTGTTTTGTATTGTCCACGGGTGGAGGTTCATTGTCTTGAGCTGAGCTCCCAGTGGCAGTGAAGCGATTGCTAGCGCGCTTGCTCAATTCGACTCATCTCAAAGACTCAAACTAACTGCGAACGGTTTCATTCAGGCTTCACTTCTTTTTCTTTGACGATTCACTTTCGGTATGCCTGATCGGGTAGTCCGACACGATTGACAGCACGACGCACACGATTACCTGCGAGGCTCATGCTTTGGTGGCATGATGCGCTTTTCAAGACCTTGACTTGATATCCACATTTATATAATAAGCTGGGAGATGGCTCGGGCCGTCTATGAGGGAGCTTGGAAACGACCGATTCGGACATGATTACTGTAAGCAATCAGCTTCTCACCAAGCACAATCACATTCCTGGTCAGTTGCCCAAAAAGTCCAACAACACCTGTAATGATTCAATACAACAATTCAGCGCAAATAAAAAACTGTGGAAGCAGAAAGTCAAAACGTCAACAGCGCTTATTTGATCTCCTCAAGTGGTTGCTTAAGTTCAGGAATAGTACAACACAACCCAACCCAACGAGAAAACCACCGCTTCCACTCGATGAACAGATCTCATGCTTCATTGTGCCTCCCGAAATCTCAGCTGAAGCTTGCTGTGTGATGCGCCCTCAAGATGAGCAATAGAGTCGAGGCATAAATTCTATGCGCTGTGGCTGACGACCGCAAAGCGCCTTTGCTGCCTAGATCGTTGTCCTTCCATCACATGCATTCATCTCTGTGCATTATTATTCGCATGCGACGATTTACAGACAACTTCCTCCGCAGCTGACCGGTCAGGAACCCGCATGCATAGGCGCAGGCAGGTATGAGAGGGCGCAGCCACCGCCACGTCAATCAAAATGTGTCGCGACCCATCAACACGGCGAAGAACGTTCTTTCCTCGTTGTCTTCGCACCTGCCACAATAACAGCTCGCAAATTCGTCGCCTTTCTCAGCAGTTAATTATTCAAATGCTTATGCCTCGACTTCGCTATGGCCAGAGAACCGGGCCGCAATGATCTTGACGGTTGGCTTGATAGCTGGAAATCAGCCAACATATCAGGATCACTCGACCCAGACATCAAACGGAGGCTGCTGTCGTTGGCAAGCAATCATGCGTCGCTGCCGTGCGTAGGAGCAATTCCTGATGCAGTGCAACAGCCATCGCAACAAATCTCGCCCAAGTATTACACATCCCACGTTCGACAGGACGACGTCAATTCGAACCACTTTGACCACATCGGTAAAACGCGGGCGTATTTTGACACTCCAAAATCAAATTGCGAAGAGGAAATTTTCACTACGACGCATAAAAGAAGGCAAATCGTGTCAACTAGAGAATCACAAAGTGTATTAATGAGCGGCGGCGCAAACCAAATACAACGAGATGATTCCACTCCAGGACTCGCAGCAAGAATGCGAGCCGCGATGGCCAAGACGTACTCGGGCGCAGAGTTTCTTCCTCGTCACGCCCTCGAGAAAATCCTCACGGAAGACAGGTTACGCAGGGAATTCGATGCGAATGGTTTCGAAGACAGCCAGCAGCTGGCTCTATACATCCACACCCACGCTAAAAAAGTATTTGCTATTCTGATACTCCTTGGACTCGAACGATCCATGCCGCAACTTGCATGTCAGAAGTTCAAAGACGAATACCTTCCTCTTGTAAGCACAGATGGGTGTATGACTTCAAGTAGCGGCATACCTCAGGACCACCCTGCACTGCGTCCGTTTGCTGAATGGCAAACATCAGACATAGAGCGTTTTTGCACAAATCAATGGCTGGCGCTCGCACCAACATTTGATACGGGAAAGGACTACGAGTTTGACAGCAGCGTCATTCTACCTTTCGTTGAAGCGCGTACTATTGAACGATCTACTGGAGGTTATGGGCGCGTCTCTCAGGTCAAGATATCCCCTGATCATCTTCCTTCCCAAACAAAGGTCAGTGCCTCGACTTCTTTTGTGATTGAAATGTACTAATATCGACAGTCTAGTTTTTTTGCACTCAAAACTCTTTTGCCAGTGGAACAATCCCATGTCACAGACTCGCTAGATGCCGTGCGCAAGTTCCGAGGCGAGCTAGATGTCGTGCGCAAGATACGAGGCGAGCATACGGTCCTACCGCTTGCTACTTTCCAGCACGGTCCGAAGCATTATTTCATGTTTCCATGGGCTAACGGGAACTTGCGTGATCTTTGGGACAAGCAGGAGATTCACGAACCTGATCGATTCATCCGGTGGACCGTTGAACAATGTCATGGCCTGGCCGACGCGCTCAATACAATTCATAGTCTCGACAAAGCTGTCACGAATTGCGCCTGGCATGGGAACATCAACCCCACAAATATTCTGTGGTTTAGAGGAGAGTTCGTTGACCTTGGCACGCTCAAAATCAGCGATTTTGGAATATCACAGAACTTGGATTCCACGGGTTTGTCTCGCACCAGATTTCCCACCCCACGGCATAGTTCACCGGAAGTAGAACAAAGTAAGAAGGATCTTGATTATACTGCGACGGACACATTTTCACTAGGCTGCGTGTTCTTCGAATTAATTGCCTGGATACTCCACGGCAATACTGAGCTATCGAGGTTCGAAAAAGACTGTAATGTGTGGACTGCTGACCCTGCTGGCGACGGATTCCCTAATGATTGCGTATCCCAAATTTGGATCAGACACTTATCGGAATACCTCTCGAACAACTGTATAATATCACCAAGTCCAGTCCTTGGGGACTTGCTCGAGGTGGTGGTGAACCAAGTGGTGGCTGGAAAGCCAAGTCGTTGGAGAGTATCAACAAGTACAGACCATCTTCACACCGTTCATGGCTCGAGTGCCATGGCAGAAGCAATGCAGAAACAGAAATTCACAATGCAAGATGTCAGCGAACAAATGCAGGTGATTCGGAACCGCATGTCCCTTCGTCCGCAGACGTACCTCCACCATCCCTCTTTTCGGCTGCACGAAAATGGGAATGGGCCGCTCGATCCGCAGCTACCGAGCATGTCTTTTGAAGAGTTCGAGAGCCAGGAAATGCGCAGCAAGAAGCTTGAAGATAAGACCGTAAAAAAGTTCACGCCGACGGTAGTCAACAAATTGCGAGCGTCAGTCCGATCGCACGATGTTTGGATACCAATCCGCGACAACTTGTTTGCGAAGAACTATTTTGCCAGTCTGACAAGAGCAGAGATCGCAAGACTAGCGTGGGTGGGCCAGTCTTCTAAGTCTCTTTGCTCCCATTGTTCAGATACCAAGACAGGATTGGCTGCACGAACTTCTTTCAAGGCTACGCTTGCCCAAATAATCTCTCGCCGGTCTATCTGCGCTCAATGCACAGCAGTATGTAAGAGATTGAAAGACTTGAAGATCGAAGACCCTAACACTCTGATACTCCGAGAGAACTCGTCGTTGACAACGAGGAGAGGAGATCCACCTATTCTCAACTTGATTGTGGGGCCACAAACATGTACTATGTCTCCATTCCCTTTCAAGTCCCACGCTGACAAGTATCCAGCACCTAGTAAAGTTCCCAATGATATCCAGCGAGGTTTGCCAGCATTACCCGCACCAGGCAGCGACGTTCAGATAAAATTGATGCGACAGTGGTTAGCTCATTGCAATACTCACCACGAGTGCCAACCTGGGTCAGATGTTCGGATGCCCTTTAGACTTATTGATATCCGAGGACAACCTGGTCGATATGGACGCCTCAGCCTCGACTCCCTTCGTATAGACTGCTCAATTCGTCGGAAAGACCACAGATATGCAGTTCTAAGTCATCGCTGGGCATCGAACGGACCTAAACGTCCAATCACGCCTAGCTAAGGCCAACCATAAACGATGGCAGACCCACTTTAGCTGTAAATCTCTCCCGAAACGATTCCAGGAAGCTATCTTGATTGCCAGAGGTCTTGGTTTGCAATACATTTGGATCGACTCACTGTGTATAATTCAGGACGATTGTGAAGACACTGAACGAGAGATCAGTAACATGGAGGCAGTCTTTAGCAACGCGTACATTACCATCTCAGCAACTTGCGCTATCGGTCACCATACCGGGTTCCTCCGGAGAGAAAATCCTAGGACGTGTCATCCTATCTACATCCCATTCGAGTCAGGCAAGCAATCCCGTGTCTATCTCTGCGACCCGATCGACGATTTTAGGCAGCATGTGGAAGAGTCAGAACTTAGTAGAAGAGGCTGGATCTTCCAAGAGCGCGCCCTATCCCGGCGTATTCTACATTTCACTAGTACTCAGCTTTATTGGGAATGTGGCTCAGATGTGCGAAGCGAAGCATTGTCCAAGTTCAATAAGTACATAGCCTCGAACCTGATGTATCATCACAATGGCTAACTTGCGGCAGTCAACATCCATCGTTCTTCTCCGATCCCGACTTTCCAAACTCAATATACAAGCACGACAAGAGTTTTCGGATCGACCTGTTCCAGCAAACCTACGAGGAATTTTCTAGCCTCGAATTTACAGTCGACACGGATAGGGCGGTGGCAATAAGCGGGTTGGAAAGCCGACTTGCCAAATTGTATGGCTCAGCTTCGTACGGCCTCGTCCATGATCCGCAGGATATCGGCTACCTCATTCGAAGTCTTCTTTGGCAGCGCGAAAGCCAGTGCTTGGCCTTGGTTAGACTCAAATATCCCCCTGGTCGCCAGATACCATCGTGTTCCTGGATGTCAGTGAAAGGACCGATTTCCTATCTTCACGTGCCACTCACGAGAATGGATTGGCTCCTAGTCAACGCATTACCATTCTTTGACTGGTTCTACTCGTCAGCTCAGAAATCGAACAGAGGACTAGCTACGTGCTTGGTATGTGCTGGAGCCTTCTCGCAAGTCGACGGAGACAACATCGTCCTAGATCGCCCAACGGGTTCAACAGCACTTGATTTTGTTGTACTTGGAACAGAAGCGGCTAATCTGCCCGAGGGCCGAGAGAGGCACTACGGACTGCTCGTCGCTGCAACTGGTGGTAGTGACGAGATCTACGAGAGGGTTGGTGTGGCAGTGGTCGAGAGAGATGCGCAATGGGCCAAATCTTTGATGCGTCGCATCGATGTCGCTTAAAACCTCGTTGATCAATGATGCGGTCATTAACGTATATAGCGAGTGATATTGTGTCAGATAATGCAGGAGATCTAGGCTGAAACTTTGAGAATGATACCCAGAGCATGTATAGCTCTACATAGCCCCGATTAAGAAACTCTCAAAGGCGTTAACACGGCTTTTGGGCATAATTGATGTGCATGTATCTTTGAATGAATCTGCAATCAGATCTCACATATATTGGTAAATCAGACATGTGCTTGTATCGACTGAAAGTCGTGTAGTTTCCCATGTTTATGTGATCATCTAAGTAGTTAGTAAAACCAGGCACACGAGACGATTTGAGCCATTTAAAATTTCAGACACTGAGTATAGTACGGTGTCTGTGCAGAGTAATTACGACTTTATTGTGGCACTTGATATCCTCGGCTGGTGTCTCAGTGTAGTGCTTCTGGAACATGCAAAAAGCAAATCCAAGACATATCGGAACACGCTCATGTACGGTGCCTGAAATGCTGCATGATGCAACAACATGGTTGTCACGCACTCGCTGCATGTTTGACCAGAAGGACAACTCGGAAGACATGAGACTTCCACTCGAGCCGCGGCCGTAGCTCATGGTAACACAGCATCGACGGTGTGACATCGGCATGGACGCGAGATGCACATCGGGTCAAAGAGGGGTTGCAATCCTTTTTGGACGTGAGGACTTTCGACCGACGCATGGGGTCGTACAGGACGTGAGGCTCTGACTTGGCTTCAAACATTGTACTCTGGTTACAAGCCAGCCTCCTGTGTAAGGGCGATCCTGCCGTTGTCGCTCAAACCGCCCTGTCGTGAAGCAATCCTGCAGGATCTGAGACTGTTGTACTCGATCCTTGAACGATGACTGTAATATATTTAAAAAGAGCACTTGTAGCATCCTTCGACGAAGGATGATTCCCTCCTTCAACGCGCATCTCAACAGCGGTCATAGCTGTCCATTATTGGCCACCTCTTCTCCATAGCAAGCGCTGCCTCACGCATCCGTCGTGTAACCGCAAAGCTGATGGAAAATAGCGGAGCGCCCCTCCCCCTCGCAGAAATGGATGCCAAAGCTGTGCAACCGCTCACAAGAACTCTGAAAGAAAACGGCGCATCAGCATATTCGATGGCGATGCAGTGGAATGCATGGGATGCTAGTACAATTGATTACACTTTGCTCCACTTTCCCGAGTGATCTGTAGGAGAGAGGGGGGTATGTGACATGTACACCTATGCATACAGTGATCATGACCAAATGCAAAGAGAAAGTTCAAAAAAAGAAGAAATGACGGGTCGCAAGCAATGTAATCCTTGCAGGCATCTCGAGCCATTCGGATGCAATCCGAGATTGTGACCCTGCCGCCTAAGACAATGTACATCTATTCGCTGTCCAATGGTCCCAGGCACGTTTGCATGCATAATTGCGGGACTGTGCAACATGCACGTCTTGAAAGTGGAGGTTGTGGGCGGCTCCATCGTCGTCCCACGCAGCGTCCCTCACACGATTGGTGCGAAAACAAGGGTACAGCGTATGCCACGCAAGCAAGCAAACACGCTGTTATCAGACATTATGTCGCTCGTGAAATATGTTTTGCCCCTTCTTTCGGGTCCGCTGTGCGCAATTTGCACTTTGCCGATTATCGGTCCGTTTTCTTTTCGGCCCGCTGGGGATGTGGGAATTTCTTCCTCTTCCCGTGGCTTGCTTTTCGTCGATAGTACATAGTATTATCCATGGATCGGTGATAACTCCGGATGCGCGGTGGCGTCGTGAGTTAATTCATCGCTCATACATGCTTGGCTCAAAGCTGTTCGATTGTGAAGGTTGTTGTGAACCCTGTAATGGTCGCTGCTATGTTGATTAGATTCCTGAAGCCATGACAGCAGTTACCTTGGGCAGCGAATTTAGTGTACCAAACCAACAACGGCTCTACATATTCGTCATGCGGCGCGATTGAAATGCCGTTTTATTGTGGACTCATCATCTTTGTGGAGTCTCCGAGCGCAAGGCGGGGCCAGGCGGGTGATGCTGGAGAACCAGGCGATCGTATTCGGAAAACTTACTCGCAAGCGGTAGATCCTTGCAGGGAGCGGGACACAAGATCGAGATGAAATTGGAAGTTACAACTACAAATTCAATGCAGGTCGAAAAGTTTAATAGGTGTTTTCTTGGGCTTACTTTTCTTGTCTCGCTTGTAATCTACAAGTCGCTTGGTTAGGTTCGCAAGGTGATGTAGCTCCTTCGAACAAACTTTTTACTGGACTTTGTCTCGCCTAAGACAGGGCGGGAACTAGTGAGAACATGCCGGGCGCGGCAAGTGCGGCGAAGAGACGGTCTCTAGACTCGACAGGCGATGCCAGTTGTGAGATCTACCGTAGTGGTATGCTCATATCACCCACATCCGTCCTAACTCAGATTGCGGAATGTTGTAGGGATGTCCAATCTGTACCAAAATGCTGATTTCATTTGAATGGGTGTATGTAGTTGCATTACATCTTCCTCAGAACCTTCTCGTGACTGGGATTTGTTGGCATATTGATCTGATCAATAGTTCTTGGGAACTCATGACCTTGATTTGAAGCCTTGCTGGGAAGTCGATCTTGATAGTCCCAGCCATCGTTGTCCATCCTAATCGAAAACGAGTCTTCTCGGTGTTCATCACGGCGTCCCCGAAACTGGTTTGCTAGTGCCTGGCTAGCTGTAAAGAACCAAGGGAGCCTGCCTTGTGGCTTGACTGAGTCGCGCGTTAGCGTTGGTGTTGCGCAGATCTGTAAATAAGGGTACTTACTGGTCCAGTACTCGCGGTGGTCTTCGTCGTCGGGCGTGATACGACCACCGGAAACGAGTTTGGTGACGTAGATCATGCCGTTCAGGCCGGTGTAGACCATAAGTCCGGCGATAAGACCGTATGCAGCGCTATAGCCGAATGGAATGAACATGAGTGTAACGAATGAGGGTATCGCATCGCCAATGTATGACCAGTTGATGTTGGAGACCTGGCGCATCATGAGGCAGCCAACCTGAAAAGTGTTTAGTGAATGTTGAATAAGCCATGAAACTGTACTGACCAGTACGAGGGTACACCCTGTAGCCCATGGCGGGATGGATGCAAATATCGGGGCGAAGAACATGGAAATGATGAAGCATATACCGCAAGCCATGGCAGTCAAGCCAGTCTTACCACCTTCCGCAATGCCGGCTCCAGACTCAATGACTACTCAACATCAGTATGCAAAAAGTGACAGAAAAGAGGCCATGTGATACTTACAGACTGTGACTGGCGATACACCAAGGAGAGCTCCAATGGAGATACAAAAAGCATCCGTGCAATAAGCAAGCGTTGATCGCGGGAAGTCGCCAGTTTCAGGATCCACAACACCGGAGAATCTCGCCATGCTGTATAGTGTCGCCGTGCAGTCGATGATATCGACATAGAGGAATGTGAAGAGGGCCATAGCGAATTGTCCAGGGTTCGAGGTGATATTCCAATCTAATTTGTTCAAGGTGTGATCAATGGGATGGAAGTTTACGACCTTTTTGAAGAAGTCCCATCGACTGTTGCCAACTGTGGTGTCTGGAAAGTAGGTGACAGAAGTGTCTCGTCTGTTCGATAGTCAGTTGCGTAATTCTTAAATAGCAGTCATCTAGACTCACGGCCATGAAATGATCGAGACAAGAAGTATGCCAACTATCATAGCACTCTTGACTTTGTATGCCATAAGATATGCTGTGACTAAGCCGCCTGCCATAATACCGAGCCACATCTGCACCCGGTCAGTACTTGTAACACCTCCATAAGGTGGTAGTCGACTCACAGTATTCGACGTCATCTTATGGCTCACACATGTCCCATCCACGAAGAACTCTTCTGGACATCCAGCAATCTGCAATGTGGTCGAACGCGCTCCAGAGACCGCACCAATTCCTGTGGTGTTGCCCAGTCCGATCAAGGCAAGGAAGAGTCCGATACCGCAAGCTGCTGCGATCTTTAACGATACGGGAATTATTTTGACAAGCCCTATGGGACAACAGATCCTTGGTCAGTGCATGTTTCGCAGATCGAAAGCCCGAACCATCTTCACTTACATTGGCGCATTCCGATCAGCGACAGGAATATGAACACGAAACCCTCGATGAAGACAGCTGTCAGTGCCAGGTTGTAGGATATGATCCCATCACCGTGATATCCTACCACCTGAAAAGCAAAATATGCGTTAAGACCCATTCCGGGTGCCAGTGCGACAGGCATATTAGTGAGGAAGCCAAATAAGAAGGAGGAGAATCCGGCAACGGCAGCCGTTGAAGTGATGAGCGATCGGTTGAGATCTGCAATGTGGTCAGTTCGCAGTTTGCGCTCCTGCATGGGTCACAAACCTTGCTTGCAGAGAGTAAATGCAGCGTCTCTCGTACACAACGGATCGTTAGAGTCATTGCTATTGCAAACACAATCGCCGCCAGTATCGGCAAGAATTGAGGCCTAAATGCATTAGCAGTGTACTAGTGCAATGTACAGGGTACTCACATTGACGGCGATAATGTAAGCCATGGTGAAAAACGTGGTCAGCCCAGCGCGGACTTCGGTGGTGAACTTGGTATTCTTGATCTCTGATGGCTTCAGAGCAGATCAGTGGGTGATCGTGTCGACGAAGCGAATCCAAGAACTTACATGTCCAGATCCTTCAAGACGAAAGATCCGCCCGAAGGTTGACGAACCTATAGAAACGTTGATGAACTCGACATACTCGCGGATGCTGTCCATCGTCAAGATGAAAACGTCCCGACTCTATTGCCGAGTGTCAAATGTTCTGAAAGTGTCAGGAGATGGGTGTCGGATCGTCTAACACGAAACTAGAGGAACGTTGAAAGAAAGTCGCTGAAAGTCTTCATGTAGACCTTGGAGAAGGGCATACTACTGCAGCACGTGTCAAGGGCTACAGTGTGAGTTATCATGGCATGACCAACAGAAGTCGGAATCGATGCATCGCAGTCGACAAGATTAACCTCTGAGCTAGCAAAGGCTGCAAGCACAAGCAGGGTAGAACCGGGTTCCAACGCCGCCGAAAGGCTGTCAAGTTTGCCATGACAGCATGGCCGCTTGGGATGGCTGGCCTGGCGTACGACCAGACATCTCCACAACGGGAAAGCGTTGTCGTGCGAGTGAGTTACAGCAGTGTCGTACTGGACACCGACTGGGACAGATGGTCTAGGCCGTACGATGGTGGCTTGCGGAAGCGAATCAGGGGCACAGGAACGCTAGTCGCACTCCAGGAACAGCCGAGCTGCAGATCACTGACTGGTAAAAGTATCGATCCACCCGCTGTCCGTCTGTGCATCATGTGAAACAGCGGAGCTGGTTAATCTTCGCTGCATACTTTGACTAGATTCCGAGGCTGGCTTGCGGACTCCAACTTGCGCCATCCCGTCCACCTTCATATGTTGGTCATGTCGTTCGTTAGACATCTGGGAAATGATCAGCGGTCGAACCATAAATGGAAAAAGCTCAATGTGCACCACATCCCGAGATGGCTCACCCGCATGCGCCGTATGGTTCAGCAGGCTCAAACTGGTCACACTTCCCAGCACCTGACCGCTACAAATGCCATCAAACTTGCCCTAGCATTGCAAATAAGACCTAGCCAGAGAAGGGAATGAAGATTTCGCGGCGTGTGCCTGTCGTACGACTTTAGTTCTACATTGGCCAAAGTGTCTTGATCTAAACTCACCGGCACGCGTACCCCACGTGTGAACCGACAACATCGTACACTGTAGGTTCTACCCTTCATACTTGCCAGGTGCGCCCCCTGGACAAGGCACTCTGTGTGATGGCACAACATCCTGGACCGTTAGCGGACAGGTGCCATCAACTTGGTTCCGGGGTCCTTGTCAGGCTCTTTGATAAGCCTACAAGCCACTGTCGGGACTGTGTGACGGAAATGTTGCTTCCCTGAAGGGGGCAAGAGCCGCTGAGCGCGCCCCCTAGCGGCTGCGACACTGCTTCCCTTGATCCCTGACGACTGTCGGACTATCTCGTCTAGATCTTGGCTTACGATCGTCACAGCTCATGATACTTCTCCAGTCTTTCGCTCGTTCTGCGCGGGGAATTTGAGGGTTTCTTTACGTCTATCTTCGCGCCAATCGTTTTTTTCGACAGACCATGTTTACCGCCGACCTGTCCTGGAGCGGGCCGAATACAGAAACAGTAGGTGAGCGGCGAGAGCGCAAAGCGCGGGAGCGCTCGAGTGTAGCCGGCTCTGTAACAACATCGACGAGTTCTCGAAGCTCTATATCTGGCGAACGAGAACTTTGGTGGACATCCGGACTCAAAAAAGCAAAAGGCATCAAGTCGACCATCCTCCGACCATCTTCACATCACAGTACCAGATCGCAAACAACAATCCGATCCGCACAAACCAACCAGGATTTGCAGCAGCCACACAGTCTTAAGGATCCTACATTACAACCGTCCTGGACATATGCAAGCACTCTTTCAACAAATCTCCCATCCGGCGCACCGTTTGACCTGCCACTCCATGAAGTTCCTGAATTGGACGGCGATTCGTCCTCACGGCGTACCAATTCGACTGAAGCACGCTTTTCGCGTAAGTTTCACATCGCTCAAGACGGAAGGAACCAAGCTGATGCAGTGATACCAGCCCAGGAACGTCCATGGGAAGTGAGGACGCCAGTCAATGTCGATATTATCGAGGAAGCACTCCCAGTACCATGCTAGAACTTCCGGCTCTTATCACGAAAGCGAGGGAAGAGGAAACTCTTTCGCGACAAGTCGAGATGAGGATTTCATAACATCGCCAAGCCCCTGTGTCCCGGCCAAAGCAAAAAGGTAACAACCACACTCCAACAGTTTTGGTTTTGTACTGACGATTCGTAGGCGACCACCCCCGGTAGTTGTCGATAAGTCGCTGGAGTTTGAAGCGCTCCGACTGCATGACTCTATTGAGCCAGCAGCGGCCGTTGCGGAAATTAAATCGCCTGTGTTTTCGGCCCATCGCTCCACCAACAGAGCGATCGAATGTCCGCCAATTTCTGAATGGGAAAGTCTAGCGCCTCGTGGAACACCGCAAAAGATGCATGTTTCACCCAGATCCACGAGCAACAAGGTCGCTGTCGCCCATAGCAGCACTCTTGAGCTTACGCGCTTCCAGAAGTTTATCCGGCGAATGGAAAGCGCAGGTCCTCAGATTGTGCTAGATAGACTGAAAGAAGAATGGCAAGTAAATCCTGGGGAAGAAGTAGACGAACAGGTACGTTCTGTGACCAAACCTTGGCGGGTCTGAGCTGACCCCGATGTAGCTCGCGCTTGAGAAGCAGCTCTGGCTCCTTACAGGATTTCAGATGCAGAATGTCCGTAACGCAGGAGTCACTCCGAAACCGTCTTGTGATACGGGGAAGGATCCTCGAATTGTATGGCAATCTCTGTAAGTCGATCCTGTGTCACCGTATGATCATGTCGTGCAGAATCTAACCGGTGTTCAGCGGAGGTGTTCCAGATGTCAGCGATGTACCCGCGCCATACAGTACATTTCCTTACGAATCAATCACGGCGGCCAGTCACGCTCCCCGCAAATGTATCCTACCTGACTGTCCGAGACTGCGGGGCTGTGCCCTTGCCATACCCGGAGAATTACTTCGCACACATCAGAGCTTCAACGCTACCGTCGTTGGTATCCTCTTCGAAGTTGCCTGAGCTATTCCGGGAGTGTTACAAGCTGCTCGCACCCGGCGGTCTGTTGGAGGTTAGAATTATGGATGCCGCACCCGTACGCAGAACTGCCGGGCCGCTCCTGCGAACTTGGATCGATGACAGACTTTCTGTCAACCTGGAGAGATTGTTTCGCTGTTCAAAACCCTGCTCACTGGTGCCGACCTGGCTAGCGGATGCTGGATTCGACATGGTGCACTCAGATAGCAGTTCTAGTGTCACACTGCCTTGCGCGATTGGCAGCGCATCGACAGACGTAACCAAGGAGCTTTCCACCGTGATAGGACGAGAAATGTGGAGAGACGTTTGGGGCCCTTTCGTTGACGACGTTCCGGGAGAGTCAAGATGGTGGTGGGAAGACGAGGACATTGTCCAGGAATGCCTCGAGCGAAAGACGGTACTTGAGTGTCGAGCAATATATGCCTACCGGAAGTAGGTTATGTTGATGAAAAGCGCTCGCCCGTGTCTTCGTACTTCACGATCGAGTCGTGTGCGATCCACGTTCCGCTGTTGCGGCAGCGAAAAGTTTCGGTGTAAATGTAATTTAAGATACCCCAATGTAGTATTACTTAGGAGCGCCTTTCGCGTACTAGAGGCAAATTGAGCATTTATAGAAGTTCTTGTGCACCTTTACGTGGCCGTCAACTCCGTGGAAGTTCTTCTCGTCAGCAGGATCATTGAGTTTAGCGTACACGTGACTTCGCGCGACGAATTGTTCTCGTCTCAAACAAGCTTAGGTTCTAGCCCCGACATGCCCCGTTTCATCAGCTCCTGCACAAGCCAAACGCTCTGGTCGCTACAAATGTGCAGCCCTCTTGGAGACGTGTTGGCACGTCCGACCACCTTTCAGCTCGCCTCGATCCTCGCTTCTCCAATCCACCCACCGTGACACCATCCCTCAACCAACACAACAAATACTCCTCTAAGACTGCCTTGTTCACAGGCGTCACCACAGCCATGGGTTTCTTAGACACAATCGCGACAAAAGTCGCTTTGCAGAGGGCGGGGCTGGGCGGCGTTTCCTTACCAAAAGACAACCCCTTTGCTGGCAACTCGAAGGGAACACAAGATGGTGCTGGAAATGGAGGCATGGCGAATCCATTCGCCAACATGCAATGGCCGCCAAAAGCATTCTCGTCATGGCAGGCTCCCCCCAGTCCAGGCCCCCATTCGCGACGCTCCAATTATTGGGGAGAAGGCTCAATCAAGTCCCAAGCTCCAGTTCCCAACCGTAGACGCCCGACCCGTTGTCGTTTTGTTCTTGAGATATTGTGGATGTCCATGTACATATCATCACCTACCCCGCTGCAAATTATGACTGACAGCTTTATAGTCACAGAGAAGCTCTTTATCAAAATGCGAAGTCTAGCGAACCGTCATACCTCGATCCACTTTATCGCCGTTTCACATTGCACGGAACAAGCGACTAAAGACTGGGTAAACAAGGTGGGTGGATCATGGAACGTAGACGTTGTAGTCGACCAGTCGAGAGATCTCTACGCGCTCTGGGGCCTCGGCGTCTCGAATTGGGGACACCTGCTGAACCCTCGGAACGGTTACAATCAAGTCTTGCTGGGAAAGAATGAAAGGTGTCTGGGGACAGCAAGTTGGAGAAGGAGGTTGCAGGTGGCAGACTGGAGGCGCATATGCTGTCGATGAGCGAGGTTTTGTCAAGTGGGGTGGTCCCATGAAGAGTGTGGACGAAGCGATTGTTTTTGAAGAGGCTGTTGCGGCATTGGGTCGCTAATGCTCCATCACCCGTAGGATGGGTTTGTGGAACTCGTTCCGATCATGAATTGTTAGTTATGCTTGAAGATAAATTGCATATTATACCCAATGCCATACAGAATAGCATCTTAATCCAAACGTGAAGTCACTAGGGCATGTGTGTTGCCTTCACCATGAGCCATCATAACTGCACTGAAGCGCATGCTGGAACCCTTAATAAGTGCTAATAATTAAATTCGTTCTTCGTTACAGGTGCTTGAGGCTGCGAGGAGATAGGTTACTTGTTATAACAAAGATTCCTCCCACTCATTGAGCCTTCTTGACTTTCTCTTCGCCTTGCGGCACAAAGCGTTTCCGCACTGCCTTGACCATCTGACTGAACCAGAAGAAGTTCAGCAGACTCAATGCAGTATTTCCGATCAGGTATACACAAACGAGCCACATTGGCAAATCTCCAATTTCGCAGCCTAGCCCACCATATTCCATGACACTTGCATTGCCCTCGCACTTTGCGTCATCTATCAGAGACGCCATGGGATTTCGGGGAGGCATCGTCAGCGCCTTGTAGATGTCGGAGTAGATCAAAATCGACGAGTACGTGCCCCATACGATGCGACAACCAAAGAAGGTGACTAACAAGGCAATGCCATTGTATAATTGCAACTTCGACCCGGTCATGCCCAGCTTGTCGCAGAACCAGTGAACGTTCAAGAATGGCGTTGATAGCTCATACAGCACAAATGAGAGGCCGTAGTAATTTCCAAAAGGTTTCTAGGAAAACATAAGCTTGCTTTTTGTCAACACGAGGAATCAGCTTACAAAGCCAATACATGTCACTGCCAGAGCGCCAATGGCATGCACAAGAGAACTGAGTCCAGTGATGGACATGTATTGCAGGGAGATCTGAAGGTCCCATAGAAAGTAGCCACCAGCAAAGCCTTGGACCTACACACAAAGAAATCAGTTCAGGTCTTCACGACCATAGTATTTCTGATAATGTCTTACCATTCCACTGGCTGGAGTGTAGCCCCATAGTCTGCCTTTCCAATCCATCTGGTGTCTTTGCTCATCCTTGAAGATGACCCACAAGGCGGCAGAGTTGATGAACAACGACTGAATCATGGACACCCAGTGGATATTCCAGTTGAGTCGTGTGCGCTTGTTAAAACCTCGGTAAGTTTGCGGGCACACAATCTTCGATATAGCTGGTGATAAAACATGGAGGATGAGGTGGTATCCAAGAAATCCCAGCAGCATTTCATGCACATGGTAGGGCATTGTGTTTAGCCCCAGCGACTCAGCAAATGGTCTGCTGAGCTGCACGAGCATGGAGGGGGGAGGAATCGGGTCCCGCATGTCGGGCCTGAGTATGGTATCGACTATCGACATGGTGTCAGCACAGAATGAGTATGTGAGGAGACAAGTGAGGATTACTGTCGTGGCTCTCTACGTTCCTAGCCGTCTTTATACGGACCCACCAAACTGCACTCGGTTGTGTGTCCTGGTGTGTCTGAGGTGCATCTTCTGACAGGGGACGCCTCGAGTTGGGATCGCCAACCGGATAGCGTTGGTCCGTGGGGACTTCGCAAACCGAGTTGGTCGGCACTTGACGCGCTAAGAAGTGGGAAGGCTGGATCGATCGAGGCTTGTCGTGCCAAGCATGTCAGATAACTTCCGGGCGGTTGCATCATTCCGGAACAGCTGCTCCGACTACAACCTCACCTTCACCACCAATTCAACCACACCCATTGCCTCACGCGGCACGTCTGTCAAGTCCGCTACATCTCGCCTAGCGCTGTGTAGGTCATATCCGCGCCCTCGAGATGGCGTCACTGGAAGGCATGCCCTCCAAGAGAAGACTAACGATCCGATGTCTTGCCAGCGGCCCTCAGCAGCTTTCTCGAGGTCAACTCTCAGCGACACTTGATACAAAGCTCTCCTCACCAGCCCTCCCACCGGTAACGGAGAAACCTCACCGCCGACTCGCGTAATCAACGCGTGACCGCACTCCACACCGCCCGAGATTCTGCCGCGCAGCCTTCTGAAGCTCGAACTTTTGGTCGCAACAACAACACGACGCCAGCATACGCCCGCTGAAGTTGCTAGCCTTTCTTGGTAGCATTGAAACAGCGAGTTCCATCCCAGAGCACTGCGCCAAAAATCCACCCGCACGACAACGCCATTGAAGCAGTTTGCGCGCAATCAGAGCAGGCGCATTCACAGCAGCAGCGCCACGTTGTCCGACCGAACACAAAAGCTTGCTCTTAGCCGCAATCCATAAGCCAGGATGACGTCCACTGACGAGCAAGAGATTGATAAGTTCATGGCCGAGGGCGGCTACAATACCTCCGAGGGACCTATTGTTGAGTCTGCTAATGACGTGCGCGACAAGAAGCGCAAGGCCAAGCAGGACGAACATGTGAGCACTATCCAAATCCAGAGCTGAAACTAGCTTCGACGTGCTAACGTGTCGCTCACAGGCTTCTAAGAAGCCCAAGGTCGTTCAAGAGAATCGCGCCATCTGGGTCACAAACCTGCCCCTCGACGCCGACAAGGACGATATCGAAGAGGCCTTCTCTAGATACGGCATAATTGATCAAGGAGCAGATGGCGAAAAGCGTATCAAGATGTACGCCGACGACGAGGGCAATTTCAACGGCAATGCCCTGATCGTCTACTTCAAGAGAGCTTCGATCGCCCTCGCCTGCACGATGTTGGATGGTTACCCCTTGCGCATGGACGAGCCCGAGAAGGGCACGATTACTGTTACGGAAGCTGACCCATCCCATAAGAAGAACAAGGATAGCGAGCAGATTGTCTCCAAGCTCACCCGCAAGGATAAGAAGGCATCAGAGCGCAACCGGGCTGACCTGAACCGGTATGTTCTGCATGTAAATTCTTCAGCCAACGCTAACTGCTTTGTAGCAAGCTAGCTGAGTGGTCTGACAACGAGGAAGAAGTCGCCGAAGCCTTCGCGCCTAGGAAGAACAAGTGGGCCAAGGTCTGCATCGTCAAGCATGCCTTCACGCTTGACGATCTCGAGGAAGACCCCGCCGCATACCTCGACATTAAGGACGACATGCGTGAGGAGGCTGAAAAGTTCGGAGACGTCACCAACGTCACGCTCTTCGACAAGGAACCCGAGGGCATCCTGACGATCCGCTTCAAGGACTTCGATGCTGCCGAGAAGTGTCGTGATGGTTGGAATGGCAGGAGCTTCGCATTCCAGAGACTCGAGGTCACACTCGCCGAGGACCGCCCCAAGTTCAAGAAGAGCAACCGTGCGGAGGAGGAGAACAGCTCGGACGAGGAGAGACTCCACAGGGTTGCGAACGACTAGGTGTCGGTACCTGCCTGCCTGGCGGATGGAGGTGTGCTAGTCTGAACGAGGTGATACCCGCCTGTACTAGGTACAACAAGCGACGGTCTACGGACCCTTAGCCTTTATTGGCATATCTGAATACAAATCGGATTACTTGAGACTTCTTATTGCCTGGCTCATTTCTGGTTATATTAAGGAGAAATTGTGAGGACGTCATGACTATGCAGCAACCCTATTTGACATATGCTCTTAGTGCATCTCTACTCGTCTATATGATCATCCAGCAGCTACACTGGGTTCAAGACAAGTGTAGAGCATCCAGGTGCTCGTTTATTTGTGCTTCTGCTACTTTCTGGTTACATATCGGACACGCGACCAATGCTTTGCTCTCCACGTTTGAATGACGGTCGTCTGGTCTTGATCTCTTCGTGTTTTGCTTGACAGCATCATCTACGAGCAGCGTCGATGCTTTGCGCTTACTCCCAGACGATTTCGAGGTTTCATCCTCTCCATCGACATCAATAGGCCGAGCAGAAGTATCACCCTCTGCCCGACCAGTCTTCGCGCTCGCCTTGACCCAGCCGTCGAGCTTGTTCTTCTGCCGGCCTGCTCGCTCTTTCGCGGACATGGCATCGAGCTGCTTCTTCGTAACAGCCGGCTCCTGGATCTTCGTGTACGTGCCCCCACAATCAGCTTCATGTCGCGCCCACCACGTATCGCTCTTCCCCGGCGCGCGATTCATCGAGCGCTTAACGAGGCCAAAATACGGCGGCGCACTTCTACACGGCCCATCGCACTGCCAGACATGCGTGCGATAGCTCTCGACCTCGTCGTGGAAGGTGTGGTAGATGGTGACCTCGTAGTTGCCGTGGTTATTGATTGCGTCGGCGAGGAGCTGGAAGCCGACGCCGTGGCCGGTGCCGTCGTCGCCGCGGGAGTGGGCCCACGAGGTGGTGATGAAGAAGTAGGCGTGGATGGCTTCGTGGAGGAGGGTGTTGATGGTGTCTGAGCGCGGGCGGTATTGGAGTAGAGGCGTGCTGAGTTTCAGGCGGATGCGCGTAAACTTTGACGTGGCCGGGTCCTTGGAGAGCTCGCAGATGCCGGCACAACTGTGTTCATCGTTAGGAGGGTCAGGCGGTATTATAGCCGTGCGTGCTTACAGAGTTAGCCGCGGCGACCATAGCACTTCGACGCGAGGTAAGAGTAGCTTTCTGAAGTATAGCACATTGTAATGCGCGAACAGCTCGTGGACGTCGACGAAAGGCTCGCCATTGTGTAGGATAGTGTTGGTTGCGTTCAAGGCCTCTTGCTGTTCAGGAGACAGCTCCGCCAGCGTCGCAATGGCCTGCAACGCAGCATCCTCGTCGGTGATCATGTGGGCGGCGACTCATTCTCCTCGGCTTGACGGTGTTTCTCTCCAGTTCTCGGAGCATTAAAGAGCTTCTCGAAGTTGGGCGTAGGGCTGCATGGAAAGGTCGGGCCGTCTCTAGCGCGGTGCGGAATGAATGCTTGTTAGCTACGAGATGGTCCAAGAGCCCTTAACCACGGCGACACCCAAGCCTCGTGCCTGAAACCCCTTGCTGCCCGTTGAAATGCCACTTTGCTGCTTTGCCCGTTGGTGACCCCAAGCGTGAGAAAAAGATGATTGGTCGTGCAACCGTCAACAAATAAACCCTACATCGACGCTGCGCGCACTGGAACATTCGCCGTCTTGATCAGCATATGACGCAGCCCTGTCCCACATGTCGGGCAGATGCACACAAACACGACGACTGCCACCACGCGCCGCCAGCTTTCACCCCAACACACGCACCGGCCAGCGCCGCCCTCACGTGTCTGAAGCACCGCCGCCACACGGATGTGCAGCTCCATAGACACTGACTGACATGGCGGCCATGGACACACCGGGGCCCGCTGATCTTGTGCGCACAGCGTCACAGAACTCGAGCCTGTCGAACCCGAGAAACCGCAGCATCGCCCGCATACGCCCCTCGAAACGCAGCTCCAATGCCTCGCTGAGCCGCAGCCGTAGCCGCGCCGCCTCGCCCTGCGAAGACACCAAGAGCCTCACGTCGTTCCCCTCCCTCTCGCCCAGTCCCGATGCCTCGCCCGTCCAGTCCCGCATCAACGGCTGGTTCCGCTCCACGCCCAACCCCAACGCCACCGAAAACATTAAGAGTAGCGAGAACAAGCCCACAGCATCTCCGGATACCGTCATTGCCATCCCCCCGCCCGATTTTGGCAAGAATGTAGCAGCACCCTCGTCTACGGTCCGGAAGGTCACCAAGTCGACACAGCAGATCGTGGGCAGCTTGGTAGCCACTTCTTCTACACGTGAGCGGTCTGCACTGTTCGACGATGCCCCGCAGGAACAGGCCAAAGTAGTCGGGAACCTCCACTACTCAACAGATCAGAACATCAAGGATGCGCTGGGCCAGATGGGCGCTGTCGCCCTGGTGAGGCAGCTAGCGGGAGATCTGGCACAGCGAGACGCCCAAGTCACGGCGCTGAGGAGACGAGCCGAGGAGCGTGAAAGGATCCTGCGCAAGATGCTCCAGGAGTGCGAGGTCTCCAACATGGATATTGAGAGCAGATTGCGAGAGTTAGAAAAGAGCAAGGAGTCTTCCAGTGGCCTTAGCAAGGTCAAGACGAGGGGAGACAGTGACCCGTCTGGCCTACACCCCGACGACCCAATGGAGGACCGCCTGGCGAGGGCTATCGAGGACGAAGTGGCCGAGCACCCCGATGCGCTGGGCTTCGACTCTGGGACCAAACGTCCACCGGCCGAGGTTCGGTCGGTACACTCAGTAGCATCGGATGCAACACGCGACACAGGCCGCGCCGGATGGAAGAGCTATATATGGAACGGCACTAGTAGGAAGAGCAGCAGAGCTCCTTCGGTTGCCAGCATGGTTGACAGAGAGGCAGAGACTATGCCAGCACGATCAAGGTCACGAGCTGATAGTGGAGCGAAAGCGCGGAAAGGTCTTGCCAACGATCTATTTGTGCCTCCGAGGAACGAGCAAGCCGGTGGCGCGGTCCCTGCCTTGCGCAGGCTTCATAGTCAGGACCAGAGCACCGGTCTGGAGACTCGTCGATCTTCGTCTGTCTCGCTCGCCAGCTGGGCGTTGAAGATGGTAGCAGGGAACACCCAATCTAGCAGCGCAAAGTCAGCCACTGTTAGAGGCCGCAAGCACGCTTCCTCCGACGCAGCCGACCGCACGCCTTCCATAGACTCAGCTAGGACGACACAGTCTGCAAGATCTGCTTTGGCCAATGCTCAGAGACGTGGGCGTACACTTGGTCCAAATGGTACCATAAAAAGCATCTCTGCAGAACCAGCGAAGACTGTGTCCAACAGTAACGCTCCCAATCCTCCCAACTGTGGCCTGAGCAACCTTGGACCTGTGGAGATGGACAGGATCCTACCTGAGGAGTCACGACCACCAACGCTTGTACAACATCACAATAGATTTGTTGGGAGTAGCGAATATCTTACTGATCGATTTGGCTTTATCTATGATCAGCGCCGCAAGAAGAGACAGAGCGAGGCCGCGGCAGAGCTTGCTAAACAAAAGCGAAATAGTAACGTGGAGTCTCTAGGAGATGCTAGAGGCATGCTGAATAAACTGGGCATCCACGAAGAAGAAACAGACGAGGCTGCGACGGCAGCAGGCGCAAACGGCGTGGCCAATCGACCCTCGAGCTCCAGCTCCGAGGACCAGAACGGCAAGACGATGACGAAGACGTGGGCGGACTATCTCAAATTGGCAACACATCCCACCGAATTGCTCTCACACACACCATCCGCAGCTCCCATAACATCTGTTCAGTCTGCAGAGGCTGAATTCTCAGGACCCAAGATGAGCCAGATTACCTTGACGAAGCGAGGATCTCTGCCGACGTCAAGCAGCAACCCCGAGCCTTCGCCGTCACGGATAGTATCAAGCAACGCAGAGCTTTCGGTCACTACTCCATCTTCAGGACCATCGACTCCTATCAGCCCCTATCCGCCTCAGATCGATCCTGTCAAGTCCCTTCTGGATCAGATGAGCGATCTGCATGATAATCTGCAACGAGAGAAGAGTGTGCGATGGAATGAGTTCTTGCGGAAGGTCCGCGCGGGCAACAAGCGTGAAGGTGTCGCGGCCAGCACTGGGGACGGTAGCTCAAAAGGCTACGTAGCCCCTGAAACTTTCCTAGCTGATGGCGAGATGGTCGGTATCGCCAGCTTGGGCAACAAAGGCAGCGTCGGACGTGCAAAGTGGCAGGAGTTCCGCCGCCTGGTTCTCGGAGGCATACCTGTGGCACTCCGCGCCAAAGTATGGGCTGAATGCAGTGGTGCATCTGCGCTACGTGTACCTGGATATTATGAAGACATAGTCAGCAACGGCGAAGACGACCCCACCATCGCGACACAAATCCAGATGGACATTACCCGTACTCTGACGGATAACATCTTCTTTCGCACTGGCCCTGGTGTTCAGAAGCTCAACGAAGTCCTGCTTGCGTACTCGCGCCGCAACCCTGAGGTCGGATACTGTCAAGGCATGAACCTCATCACCGCATGCCTGCTTCTGATACTACCTACCGCTGAAGACGCATTCTGGGTCCTCGCAACGATGATTGAGAACATCTTACCACAAAACTACTACGACGCGCACCTTCTCACCTCACGCGCGGACCAATCAGTCCTCCGCTCCTACGTCGTCGAGCTCCTCCCGCGCCTCTCCGCGCACCTCGATGAATTAGAAATCGAGCTCGAAGCCCTCACCTTCCAATGGTTCCTCTCCGTCTTCACCGACTGCCTCTCCGCCGAAGCACTCTTCCGCGTCTGGGACGTCGTCCTGTGTATGCACGACGGCTCCACCTTCCTCTTCCAAGTCGCCCTCGCGCTGCTTAAGCTCAACGAGAAAGCACTCCTACAGTGTGACACCCCCGCCGGCGTGTACCACTACATCAACCACCAAATGACCAACCACGCCATCAGCATCGACGGCCTCATCCAAGCCTCCGACGCCCTCGGCAAGGTCATAAAGCGCAAGGACGTCGAAGAGCGCCGCGCAAAAGCCGTCTCCCACGAGCAGGAACTCATGCGCCAGCGCGACGAAATGCGCCAAGAGCGCGCGCGCAAGAGGGCGGGTCCCACTACCTCCACCCCCGCGGTCCCAGAAGAGGAAGAGGAAGATGAAGATATAGATGCGAAGAGTATCTCGGCCTCCCTCGACGCCGGCCTCAGCATGCGCACAAGCCCCATGCGCACCCCGCTCAGCAGCGCGAGCAAGCGCAGCGAAGAACTCGAGGACGCCGACGACGTGCTCCAGAGCCTGGATCTTGTCGAGCGCACGCCCATGCCCATGGAGGAAGAATGTCTCTGGCGTGGGTAAAAGTATGGCATTTTTCTTTTCCCTTTGTCTCGTCACTTCAAGAGCAATTGCATGCATCGTTCGGCGCGCGGGAATACAGGCATACATATCATATACCCCCCCCCTGTTTTTTTTCCTTTTCTTCATTGAGTGAGATTGGATGAACGGGACATTGATACCCCTTCTCTGCTTTTTGCTTTTCTACTTTCCTTTTGTCTTGAGTGAGTTTTTGAGTAGTTGAGAATGATATTTTGATAGAATGCACTATTGACATGACGCTTTTTGGATCATCTGAGGTTACTGTGAGTTCGATTTGGTCGTCTATGTGCTGAATTCTACCAACTTTTGCATCACCATATGCCTTTGGAGAGGCTGCGACGGTCACCTAACTTGACCCACTATGATCGTTCTACGCTTCACGAGATGCTGCCTCGAGGCTGCGTCAGCCAGTCATAGCAGGAGGTCGGCCGCCGCGAAGGGCCAGTCGTCTTCTTCCTCATCGTCATCGGACGCGTCCTCCACATCAAGCGATCCGACTGGTCGTGCCCTTAAACTACGCTTCTTGTTGCCCCTCTTGGTCGACCCCTTCTTCACGTGCCCATTTGGGCGACGCTGGGAGTGAGGCGTGTACTTCTGATCAAAAACCACTTCAACTATCATCCTCCAGGAAGAAGAAGTTCCCGCTCAACTTCTGCTCCTGGTCGAGCTGGGACTTGTCCTTGTTGATACGGGGACGGTAAGAGTTGGGGTCGCGACGGAAGGTGACATCGAGGTTCTTCAAGAAGGAGTTGCAGCCGGTGAGGAGAGACTCAGGCTTCCTGGCGCGAGACTTGACACCAGGTTGACCGTCGAAGACAATGACTCGGTCAGCAAGGTAGGTAGCCATGATGAAATCGTGCTCGACGACAAAGGCGGTCTTCTTGGCGTGCATGATGAAACGCTTGATGACACGGGAAGCAACGATACGCTGCTCAGAGTCGAGGTAGGCACTGGGCTCATCGATGAGGTAGATGTCGGCTGGGATACCCAAAGCCAACACAATGGCGACACGCTGCAACTCACCACCAGAGAGGTTTTGCACCTCCTGGTCAATGAAATCGTCCATCTTCAGTGGCTTGTACACGTCGGTCTGGAACTGCGGGCTCAGGAAAGCGGCCTTGATCTTTTTGAAGAAGAGTTGACGGACAGTTCCCTGGAACTTGGGGGTAATCGTTTGAGGCTTCATGCTAATGCTCATCTTGGGGATGGAGGTGACGCCGTCAGGCTTCAGAGCGCCGGCAAGCATTTTACAGAACGTGGTCTTGCCCGTTCCGTTCTCGCCCATCATGACAATGATCTCAGAGTCGGTAAAGGATCCTGATTCAATGTTGAGGTTGAAAGTGCCAAGCGTCTTTTCCATCTTGGGGTAGGTATAATCGCGCGAGTTGTCATTCAGGTACTCGTCGCCAGCTTCAGCGATACGGAACTGAAGAGATTCTTCACGGAAACGCAGGTTCTCGGTGGGAATGTTACCGTCAAGGAAGATGTTGATACCTTCACGGACAGATGCAGGTAGGGTGACGACACCGTACACGGCCGGCTTGCCGTAAAGGACGCAGATGAAGTCGGAAAGATAGTCTAGAACAGACAAATCGTGCTCGACGACAATGACGTAGTCATCAGGTCGCAGCAAGCTGCGAATCCTACGGGCGGCGGCCAGACGCTGCTTGACATCAAGGAAGGAGGACGGTTCGTCAAACATGTACACATCGGCTTGCTGAACGCAAACGAGCGCAATGGCAAAACGCTGCAACTCACCACCAGAGAGCAGGTTGACCTCACGATCGAAGATGTGTCGCAGCTCGAGCTCGTCGATAATCTCCTCGAAGTTCTCCATTTGTGCACGTGCTTTGATGAGCGAACCAACAGTCCGGTCGGTGCCCTTGATAGCCTTGGGAATCTGGTCGACATACTGGGGCTTGACTACTGCCTTGAGGTTGTCTTCGAGAACCTTGGTAAAGTAGTCTGCTAGTGGTCAGCACAATGCACAGGGTTTGGTCGGGATGGCTTACTCTGAAGCTCAGAACCACGGAAGTACTTCAGGATCTCCTCCCAGTCCGGCGGGTTGTCGAAGCGTCCCAGGTTAGGCTTCAGCTTGCCACTAAGAATCTTCAACGCGGTACTCTTGCCGATACCGTTTGTCCCCACGAGTCCCAATACCTGGCCCGGGCGGGGCATAGGCAGCCTGTGCAGCTTGAAGCTGTTCGCCGAGTATCGATGCGTGACCTGGGTCTCGAGGTTGGTGGGCAAGTTGATAATGTTGATGGCGTCGAAGGGGCATTTCTTGGGGCAGATACCGCAGCCAATACACAGGCGCTCGGAGATGAAGGCGATCTTGGACATGTTGTCGACCTCGATGCACAGCTTGCCCGTGCGGACCACGGGACACGACTTTTTACATTCTTGTCGGCATTTCTGCGTCTGTCAGACCCTGAGCCGCATTTTGAGAGGGCGTACTTGCCTTGGGTTTGCACTACAGTGGCGAACATCCTCACGTTAGCATTCCCGAAATTTGCGTGGAGGGGTAGCGGGGCATGTACCTTGTCCGAGTTGACAATGGCAATACTGCAAAAGTTAGTCCAGGTGACTTTTGCACTTCCAGGAGAGATATAGCATACCGGGTGAGCTTGTCAGACATGTTGGCGACGGGTCAAGTGGTGTAGTGACGGTCAAAGAAACGCGCACCGAAAACTGGCGGGATTTTGGATTTGGAGGGTCGCAAGTGCGTCCGCGGGAGTCCAGCGGCGGGAGAGCAGTCGTGATAGGCGCGCGTCGTGAGTCGGCCACCAAGATTTGGCTCTGGACGGGGCTCGCAGTGGATCGTTGAGTCGGCGCAGCGCAAGTGAACCGTGGTAACAACTCAAAAACTGGCTCAAGACTGACGTTGGAGCATTCACGCACTGTAAGCGATCTCACTGGGCGCTGATTGGCGGCGGGAGCGGGTGTGCCAAGACTGTCGGTTGCGCCTTCTTCTCTCGCCCGGGGCCTTAGAGCGAGCCCCAGTCCGCCTTCAGGAAACTCCACACTCTCGACAACACGCACACATCAACACCACCCACACCCTTCCCGCCGCCTGTAGTGGGGAAAATCGGACATGGACTGTGAGTATACATCCTCTGACGTCTGATTCTTCCTCTCGCCGCGCCGCAAACTTGCGGCTACCTGCGTGCGGCCGAGCTCGTGCAAGTCCATCTCTCCCATCACCATCTCGCGTCGAAACATCCAGGAGCACGTCTCCTACCCATATCACTGCCGTATACCGTGTCTTGGTCGCTATACAAGTCCTCTATCGCCTTTTTGAGTTGCTCGCAGCCTCTCCGGGCGCCCACCGCTCCACCGCCCGACTTCCATCAAACGCTCATCAGCCTTCGACATCTGGCATCATACCTCCATTGCCCAAGTCGCTCCAAACGTTTCCAGCCGCTTTGTGTTTATTCTGAGTCGCGTAAACTCGCTCTACCCAACGCACCTGCTCGCGCACACTGGAGCCCTCAGGTCATCGAAATATCGTGCTGACCATCTCTCACAGCAACGTCCATCATGATGCCCTCTCCCTCGGGTCACAGGGACTCATTACCATATACAAACGGCCATACCACACCTCTCGCGGTGCATGCGGCGCCAGCGCGGAGCCCTTCACAACGTAGTGACAGCGATCTGTCCGATGCTCAACCACCTGCCGTAGCAGAGCCCTCCTCCGATGTCGACGCGCCCGGAGAGGAGGACGAAGATGATGAGGCTATGGCTGCCGACTCAGATTCATCCGAGGACGTAGATGCGGAGGGCGAGCCAGACGCAGACTACGACTCTGACTCACCGCCATCTGAGCATGCCCCAAGCAGCCGCGCCCAGAGTGTGTCGTCTCAAGAGTCTTCGAGGCCCAACAAGCGCAAGGCCAGCTCAGACAAGGACGACTACATGACACAGAATCCGGAGCTGTATGGTCTGCGTCGCAGTGTATGTGTGAGCCGTCCCCACGTGAAAATTTGCTGACCGAACCCCAGGGTCGTGCCCGTCCCAGCCGTCGCATCGTAAGTAACCTTCACTACATACATCAGACAAGTACTCACCCGTTCCAGGTCGATAGTGATGATGAAGACGATGATTCAGGCTCCGACCAGCCCCGTAAGCGCCAGCGTACAGCCTCGCGCAAAGGTCAGCAAACCCATCACTTTTCCATCACCATCACACTGACATGCTCCTTAGCCTCAAACCAACCGACTCCTGTCTACCGACCCGCGGGCTCCGACTCGGAATCGGATGGCTACGTCAATGCTAAGAAGAACATCCCTACCAAGAAGGAGCGCCATCGGCAACTGCTCGTAGCAGAGGGGCGCCTGCCTCCCTCACAGGCGGAGGTCCGCTTCTCTGCCCGTCGCTCAGCACAAGTAACGAACTATAACGAGGAAGGAGAGGATGAGTTCGAAGAGTCCGACGATGGGCAGACACCCAACTAAAGGGCTGCCGCAGAAGAGGACACTGGGCCCATCATCGACAAGATCC